TGCTTAATGGCACAATTATCACTCGAACACGATCTTCAACTTCACAATATTAATTATCAAGGTGTCTCGTTAATCGTCCTATCTATTTGAGCTGGCGGTACTAAATTTCAAAATAGTCTACCTATCAATAGTAGCATAACCACTTTATGGTCTAGAACGGCGCAATTGATGAAGAAACAAAGTTAGCAATCATTGAAGAAACAAAATGTAATGAGTATCATCAATAAGCTGTCTGGTTGTACCGACACTTTACAATCTTTGGAATGAACATTGAAGTGGCTGTCGATAATAAAGATAAGCTTGCTTGGCTTTAAATTGGAATTGCTAAAAGGAGTAAATTGAACAAATTTGTACAAGATTCCATTTACCAGGGATTTTAATTTTATTTTTTTCAAGGAAACGGTGCCATAAAAAAGAATGGAATAATCGAAGTATGCTACAATGAAAATTTTAGGCGTAATTAAAAATTTCTATTATATAATTTGGTTTAAATGAAATTTGGTATGTACTGCTGACTCATCCTTTAAAAAATTATTTTCAAAAAAATCACTGATTCCTTATGAAATCTCTCGTATGTATATATATATATATAAGAAATTATGAATAGATGCATCATATCAAAATGAATTAACAATATTAGTTAATTTGAAATTATAATGAGATTCTTTGACAATTCCGCGTGATTAATTTTAATTCTTCACAGAAGTGTACAAATCAGATGCTTGTTTTGATTACGTTCACGATCACGTAAACTATGATGCTGATAATGGAAAGATAAATAATATAACCATGATACTGGTAATGGAAAGATGCATATAGCGCTTTCGATATAGTTGACTGTGATAGATTTTTAATTAATTATTGTAAGGAAAAAGAAATGTATATTGGAAGGGCCTGAAATGAGAAAAAATGTAAAAGAAATTGTAAGGAAATAATTTATCAAATGCCTATTGTTAATTCTAGGCAGATTAGAAGAGGGAAAAGGGAGAGAAAATATGCTTGCGAAAATATTTGAATCCTATTGAAAAACAATGTAACAATAATTCATTGTCTATGGTCTAAGACATATAACTACTTGTTGGTACTATTTTCGATGAGATTTCGTTAAGCAAAATCATTTTGGAAGTGTAAGAATCTGATGGAATTTGATAGTGCTAATCATGAATGATTTCAAATTTTATTTTTAAAAAACTATTTCATCAAGCGGCTAAAACTAAATATTTCAAATAATATTCATTCACTTTCATTTTGTATATTTGAAGAAAATTTTTTAGAAACAGTAAACAATTGTAATTGTTCTTAAAATGCAAAATTAACTATGAGTTGTTTTAAGCAAATTTTTTGGTAATAAATTTAGGAAATTTAAAAATTAACTCATTTATTAATTAGTCAGCAACTTTCAACACATACAATTTTGCAGCGCAATTCATTAATAAAACAAAACAATGAAATTAAAGATAATTATTGTATTATTGATATTTTCTCATTATTAGGTTTTGATGAAAATCTTTTTCTTTTTTTGGTAGATATTGCATTGAATGAATTTCATTGAATTTCATTTTGTTGACAAATTCAATTTGAAAGCTAAAAACAATTGCATCCTTTTTTATGTAATTCCCTTTTTTAGAAGAATGGCATAAAAATTCCATTATTTATTGCAAAATTTAAATTTTAATGGTTTTCCTAACTTCAATCTATAATAGCTATTTATTGAATAGAATAAATGAAATAAAACAGGAATTTTTCTTTTTATAATGTATTTGATTGATTTCAGACACCTAAACGTAACGTTCCGTCAACAAACACACGTGAGCGTATTTTTGGTGGCGATACAGAACAAGTAACACCTTCTAAGAAAGTTTCAAATACTTTCAAATCATCAATTTTTGAGAATAAAACATCTGAATCGCCTACTCGAACACCTAAGAAGACAATACCTGTACTTGGTTAGTTTTCATGCATTTTTTTTCCAGATATTTTAAAACTCTTAGATTGAAGAAACTTTATATTGTTTATTATTCTATTAATTTTCATTGTTTTTTTAAATAATGATATGTTACGTTTTACTTGGAAGACAATACTTGATATTTTGTAATTATAATTTAATTACAACAATGTAATTAATAGTGAACAAATATTTTGAATAAGAAGCACAATTTTTGAAGCTAATTCCTGCTTCCAAGTATCATTATATCTGTTTGCAATTGAAGCTGACTGATTGATTATATCGAAAATAACGGACAAATTAGCAATATTGTTAAACTTTATTCTTTCCTTACATGAACATTGAAGTGATTAAAAAAGTGTGCAAGGAATACTGTCGTAATGACTTGTTGAAAGTGTTTTACGATGTCACTTAAGTTGACCTCGTCCCGTTTAGTCTTGAACCCATGCAATTTGAGTGACAGTGCTTTCCCGATATAATCATTAGTTACGAATAGATCACCTTGTAGAACACGTAAACTTCAACTATTTATAAAACCAATCAATGTTGAATAAAAGATTGAAAGAATGTATGATTTCACAAAGTGATATATTATCAATCGCTATTTCTTCAAAATTCTTTTACCTCATATATTCACGAAGATCGTTATCAAAATTCTCGATTTCAATCTTGATTATATCGACTGTAAATAATTCCTTTCAAATAAAGAATGAAACATTAAGAGAGAATGGAAAATAAAATTAATTTCATTAAGTTAAATTCAAACAATCAGTTGAATGATATTACTACAGAAATTTCTGCTTCGTTGCATAATTTGTTAAATTACTGATTTTTTTCTTGTTAAAAAATGATCGTTTTCATGAATTACTACATTAATATGTTGAAATCAAAAAAGAAAGGCATAATCTTCCTGGACTGATTGGAATTATATGCATGAATGATTATGTATTTTTGAGGTGAGGAAGCGTGAAGTTAAATTGACACACCTGTTTGCATTTTTACCGTAATATTCGATGCTTTCAAGGGCATTTTCACATCTATAACCAATGATAACCAAGAACTTAATAAGAAATTTTTTTTTTAATCTTAAAAAACTTTTTAAAAAAGGAAAAACGAAAAACTCAATTTTCATATTAAAAAATTAAGCTTAAAAATCTTCATTATTCTAAGAGTTATATCCTAAAAATTCAATCTACAATTTCAGATCGAAATCCGATAACTGGTGAAGTAAAATGTCCAGCAAAAATATCAGCTTGAATAATATATATTTCTCCTTCCTTCTGTTGCTGAAAAAATTTTTCCGCTCGTCCAATTCCCACAGGGAATAAATTGAAGAATTATATTTATCGCACAAAAAAAGTTCCTTTTTTTCATTGTTAGCAAACTATTTGTCGGTATCATTTAGCTTAATTATTTTTTTGTATTGCATTTTATTAATATATTCGCTTTGAATGTTAAAGAATTGATTTATCATTTTATCATTAGTTGAATTAAAATTGTTTACCATTTTATTATTAATTGAATTAATTTTAAATCTTCATTATGTAAATTACTGGTATTATATCTAGTAATTTTTTTTTTGATAGGGAAGAAAATGTTTCCCAATTCTGTTGTGTATTTATTGCATCTTTTTAATCACTGAGATCATGCTTATCCATTTATTACTGAAACGATATATTTATTATCTTTATTTATCCTTTTTTAGCTGAAGAAAATTTCTTATATAAAAATTAATAGGATATCAATCATTTCGTGCCATTCAAGTTAAATAAGCTAATTAGAATCATTTCATGCTATTCAAGTTAAATAAGCTAGTTAGAGAACTGGAGGTAATAATGGGAAGAATGAAACCAAATGGATTAAGGTCATTACATTCTTAATCATATGGGTTAAGGTTATTACATTTCTTAACCATTGGTCATTAAAAAAGAACCACTGAAATGCATGAGAGGAAGAAAATGAAAAGACTCCATGGGATGAATTTTTCTCCCTTATCCAAAAGTATTCCTTAATTTGACTGACATCAGCAATTCGATTCAAATTCAAGACTGAAATTCAGATGATTTTATCATTCGCATCCTAAAATATTCGGTAAGATAAATGAATGAAATTTATGTGACGGCTATTTCAATATTTTACAATTGGTATTGTAATAATTCGAAAATGCTATAGTAGCCTAAGAAAGCTATTTATCCTCAAAGAACATCGAATTGAATTTGTTGAAATTCAAATAGCACCAATTCTATGGTAATGAGAATTTGATCTATTACATTTCGTTCATGATGGAAGAGAAATGTATCATTTCAAGGGGCTTTTTTTGTATGGGTTACTGATGAAATATATTGGCTCCAATCTGACAGTTAATGATATTTGAGTAAAAAAATATTAGAATGGAAGAAACATGGGAAGGAAGTGGAAGGAATTTGTGAATCATATACCAAATATACTTCCGCTATGCAAAGAACTAACTATCACAGAAAAAATATTTAAGAAACGTTTTTTCCATCGTAAAAAAAATCAGACATATTTCTTGATCATTCCATTATCATCGGCTTGATAGAAATTGAATCTAAAGAGATCGTTTAATAATTCCATGTCAACTGCAATGTTTACATAGAATAATATCTTTTTCAACAAAAGCAAAAATAAAAAAAAGGTCATTTTCTACGAAAACTTGTCCTAGAAATTTGCAGGCACCGGGACATCTTGAATTTCTAATCAAAAAAAATCCAATCGTGATGAGACTATTAATTTCACATTGGAAAATTAAACTTATTACATAATACTATTTAAAGGTGTGTTTCAATTTTAAGAGTAAAAGTAGTTGGCTAGCTGATAACATTGTGAAGATAATTCTTTGATAGACAAAAAGTGGGAAATTGCTCACTTTTTTCCATTTCCTTTAAAAAGTATGAAGAAAGTCGTGATGATGGGGTCATTGATTTTTTGTGGCATTTTTATTTCTATGACTCATTGAACTATCTGCTTATGTATGACCAAGTGATAGTTTATTATTTCAAAGGGAATAAACTCGATTGTATAAAGTAATTAAGTTTTATATGCTAGCTTTGCCACAGTTATGTAATGAACAAATAGTAATATTGTTTTTGGTCAATTGATATTCAGGTTCCTTGAACAAGGACAGCATCACAGTCTTTCTTGGTTCGGTCATTGTGAACGCATTATCTGAGAACCATCCGATTAGGCCTGGAGCTAGCTCCATATATACGAAAGGTGCTATTTTGTCAGCTTCTAGCTTTAACTCATATAACAAATCATTTCTTCTGTACAGTTTTCGAATCCAGGCTTTACCGAAATTCACTTCATCTATCTGAAATATACATGAAATAGTCAAAGGCAATGAAGTTATGTTAACAACGAAACTTTCACTACCTTAAACAGCTTATCATGCAAATGTACGGCATCGTAACCAATTTGAGTATCATTACTTGATAACATCCTTCCCCGCAAGACATATCGGTCGTTTCCTTTCTCTCTGTAAAAACAACAAACAGTTTACAGAGTGCATTTAAGACGGCTATACTTTCCGGATTTAACAGTCTCCTTATGTGGATATAAAACGAAACAATTCTGTCAGATGACAATTTGTAATAATATTTCGCAATTTGTTTTCTTTTAGGAAACTTAAATGTAACTGATAATCTTTGGTATTAATTTGTCTATCAAATATAGAATTTTGTTATAGAATTTTCCAAAAATAATCGACCAAATGTGCCAGACGAACCTTATAACTTTGGAAATTGTCCTATTAATTGGGATCTCAATGGATGACAATGGGGGAACTGAACTAATTTGTTGTTTAAATACATTAACTGGAAAGAAGCGATCAATCCAGAAAATTTCCAAAACCACTGTTATATTGAGTATTGGTTTTGATAGATCTGATACAATGAACAAATGAACGTCATCGTTCACTACCTGCAGCAATGGAAAACTATAAAACTTCAACGATTTATTGTCTAGTTTTTTCTCCAGCAAATCAAGTGTCCAAATGATTTTAAAAAAAAACATTGAATTATATTTAAGGATAAATCATTATAAATGATTTCATAAATACTGCTTGAACTTCCAGTTTGATCTTCTGCTTGCCAAATCCAAAACTCAATTAATTCATTCGTGAGCGTAAATAGCTGGACGATGCAGAACCAGGGAATCTTTTTTGTTCCGAATTCGTTTTTTTTTTTTAATTTAATCAAAATTATGTAATTGCTTGCATAATACCTATAGATTATTTCGGGTGAATTAATTGATCTAATAACTGACTAGTGAAGTGATAATGTGTGCTTTATTATCAAATAAATTGACTGAAAATCAATGACCCACCAGAGAAAGAATAACTGGTGCAAAGAATCGACGAGCAAAGTAATGAGCGGGTTTCCATGAAAGTTCGAAATCAATTGTTGACCAAGTTGGTGCTACCCATAGATCGTTCAATTGCCAGTATAGAGCGCACATCGTATTACCACGACCATCTTCCGTCAATCGTCCACGCCATCTGAAAACTTCTAGTTTTATATCCCACCTCCTTAACGGTTCTCACCAATTTGATCACATTTATAAGAAAAATTAAATAAGAAAATCGGGTGTTGGTAATTAAAATATAGAGAAGCCTGAGTAAAACAACACTTTCATTTCTTTCATCATTCTTCTACTATTTACTTTACCTTTGCTTCTTATTGTGAGTTCAAGAAAATGGTAGGATATAGAAAAGTTTCTATCTCTTCATTACTCATTCGTTTTAACATTACTTTTACTTGGTTTCTGGCCTATATCATTGGCTTTATTATGTTACTTCAGTTTTCTACTTAGCAGTATGTAAAGTTAATCGATATAGTAATACATATTTTCTCATTACAGATGTCATTACGAAGCTTATCTTCGGTAATGCTCAGTTTGTACTTGATAAGTGACCGCTTGATGGAACTGAGATAAGTATACGAAACGGTCCATGAACGTTCCCAAATAAACACAATTTTCATTTATTGTCTTCCCACATTCATTCGGAATCTACAACTGAATGTCTTATTAATAGCTTATGGACAAAAATTTGGTTTAGTTAACGATATTCTACAATAATTTGCTAACGATATTTGTACTTATCACCTTATCATCATATGAAAGCTTCTGTATTAGAAATGAACATAAATTTCAGCATTTGTAATTAAAAACTCTTCGATTTATCGAGATTTATTTTTCTATATTGCAGCATTTGAATGTTCCAGTTGTTGATTTCTCGTACGATACTTGGTGAGATCACAACATTACTCAAAAATAAGATAAAGAAAGCAAAAATTCGAAGTCGCTCCTAAATGAGTATAGATAGGAAGCATGTGCAACTTGAGCTTATGTTAAACAATTCGACAGGTAAATCTTATCAACACTCACCATTCTCGTCCACGATGATTAAACTCTGAACTTTGCTGAGAATCTGAGATAGCCCTCAATAGTATCTAGCATGAAATAAAAGATAAAAATGTGGTAGTGAAGTTAAAGAAAAGAAGAATCAAGAAATAATTGAGATTACTTTGAAATGTGAGAAAATCATAGAAAGTTGAGCCAAGAATCCACCAGGATGATGCTGTCTACGTCTCATTCCTTCACTTGTATAGGACCAATCTGTTTCATTCAACCATTTCAACATTGTTTCTCTTAAAAGTAACTCTCTTAAAAGTAACAACTATCAAAGTTTTAGAATTCCTTTCCCTTCTCTCTTCTCCTTCCAATTTTCTTTTTCATTAATTTAATTGAAGTAAGATTTTATAACTCGAAATGGGAAAAGAAAAGGAAAGTTCGCCTGAGGTAGACAAAAATAAAGGCCAAATAAAAAACGGCTATTGTTTTAGTTTCTGAAAAAGTAGTATTTCCAATATAGTACGAAGTGTTGATAACTGATATCATTTTCTGGAACCCCATGATAACCAATAAGAAGCTTCCTCCAACACTCTGCTATATTATATAAAAAGCAGTTTCCTCCGACACTCTGCTATATTATATAAAAAAAGTTGAATAGGAGCATTCTTACTTTCTTGGAAACGACTCTACGCCATATTCAGAACAGCATCGTGGAATCTGATAAGTTGAATCTTTCCATAGGTCATCTAATTCATTGTAGAAGTGGATATCACCATATTTCTCATCAGCAGGATATTCTGCGACACCTCCTTCTCTAGAAGGTTTTCAAAGAATTTTTTTAAACAGAATCTTCGATATGGCGTTTTATTTATAACTGCAGCAATCATAACAACTACTTTTCGGATTCCACTCCATTTGTTGGACTGGACAACAGATATGGCCTGGTATCATCCAGTTTGGCAATAATTGGTCGTATCGTTTCATTATACAATTTCATATAGTCTGATATCTATAAACTATTGTATTTAAATGCGAAAAAAAAAGAAAATCGATGCCGAAATTTTTACTTGAAATAAGATTAGGAGACAAAAAAATTTTAACGTATTTGACCTTTTCTAATCTTTATTTCAGTAGCTTTAGTATCGGATATCTAAACGAAATTATCAAAATAGGCCAAGATTATCAAGATGTAAAAGTAATGAAACATAATCGGACATATATCTTGAAAACTTCAAGCAAGCATGCAAGCAGTTAATTTTGGTCCAAATCAATGACTGTTCATTTGATCAATTAATGATTGCTTTAAAAAGATCATAAAGCTATGAAATTAAAAATCATAATTTATGTTGGCATCACAGAATGATTAGTCGATAAAAATCGTTAAATCAAGAAATACCGAATCAGTAAGAGAGTAATTTTCCGCAATGAACCACTGACGAACACCCAATTCGTTCTCATTATTCCCGGCCCAGACTAAAATAGATGGATGATGTCGAAGTCGCTCCACCTGCAATACATCACTTCAGATGTCATAATTAAGTGCATTTTATCAGAAACAATTTTATTTGAAGCAACAACCTGAGCATACACTTCTTCTCGAACAGTAGCCAAATATTGCTTATCAGTTGGATATAACGCACATGCAAACATCATGTCATGCCATATCATTAATCCCTGCAACATTAACATCATATAATCGCACATATAGCACATTCCATTTTCAAAAATGTGCAAATATTTCATTAAAATTAATCTTAGATATGGCCATAATTGAAATAGTAGAATACATACTCCAATTCTGTCCAAATGATTGAATGGCAAAGGACAAGGGATTGGGACAGGTATACATACATTGCTGTTTATCTAACCAATTCATCGGCTAAATCGTAAAAGTGATCATTCTCATAACGACCACCACCCCATACACGTAACACATTCATATTCGATTCACGTGCTGACTCAAGTAAAAATTTCTCTTCGAAACGATGATTGCGGGCAGGGAATGCTGAAGATGGAATCCAATTTGAGCCTAAAATTCAAATAACTTGAAACTGAAGTGATTCGAAAAAGATGTGAAGATATCATAGTTATTTGAATTTTCGTAAAATAGTGCTTTACCTCCAAAAATGCTTGTTTGAAAACTTGCTTACATTATTCTAAAAATTCTATTTTAAATAATCCTTGTTGTGGTGTAAAAACAACGTATATCGATATACCAAAAATCTCAAATCATTTAATTTTTATGAAGATTGAAAGACAACCTTTAAGGAATATAGGTTGATCGTTGACCATGAAATAGAAATGTCTTCCTTGTGTGGGTTTTTTACTATTTACATAATCTTGAATGAGCTGAACTGTTCGAAATCCCACTCTTATTTCTTTATCAAAGTTTTGTCCTAAAAATAATCAAAGTAAAGATTATGAGTTTATTTCATTAGTTCATAAATGTTCATAATTTGGCTATATTTGTGTCAAAATAAACTTATAATTCGATCATTCCACTTTCAAAGAGTTCAAAAAATTATCATCGATAAAACGATCATTCTATTGACAACTCTTTGAATGATTCGAAAATTATAGACATCAATACAAACAATATGGTTTGAATGAATTCAACATCTCTTTAAAAATAATAATCAAATGTCCAATATCTCTATCCTGAATTCATATCAGCTTGAATGTCTATTGCATACTCGTTTAGTTCAATTACTTTAACTATTTAACAAAGCTGCAATGAAATGGTTAACTGTAAATTTCTTTCAAGATGAAAATTAATCTTTTTTTAAATGGCTGAATAATCTTTCATGAACCTTCATAAGATATTGAAGTAATCAATTTGTAGAGTTTTTGTTTGCCGCTACCATTTGGCCACCACCTCTCAACGACGTTGTTAGGCACTGATATTCTTCGTTCCACGATATTTTCACTCATTGAATTGAATGAAGTGGTAGAGTGATCAGTGACGGAAATTTCAGGTAATGCTAATGTCACTTGCGCATATTTTACTTTTACTGCACTCCATACTGTGATTCTCAACGAAATGATAAATTGCTGCTCTGTAATATAGTTTTCTAATTAAATAAAAAAGAAACTGTAAATTATCAGCTCAGTAAGGTAATAATTTAACATTTTAATAGTGGACGAATTGAACAAAATACTATGGGAAGTATTATTTAAAAACGATTACAACTGCATTTTGTGCAAAAATAATTATATTGATAAGAATTAAATAACTTTTAAATGAGACTACTGCTGATACTTTGTCTACAAATATTGCTTTCACTCCTTCGATAGATATTGGTTTCCAAATGCCAACTGTTGGAAATGAAGGTCCCCAATCCCAACTGAAGCTTGCTTGGATTTTCCTGCAAGAAATGCCTAAGTTACTATTATTGTTATTATCAAAGATATTGGTACAACATATATTCAATAGTAAAGTTCTGTTAAATGTTTAATGTAGACTATTCTAAACGATATCATCATATTATCTATGCTATGGGGGTAATAGTGCTACAATGTACTACCTACTACTGTTCTACATTACCAAATATAGTCATGGTAATATTGTAGATAACTGATCCGGTTACAAAATTAGCAACTTGCCATAGTTACGTGTATTGTAACAAATTTTTGAAAAGTAGACCAAGAAATAATAAAACTTTGTAAACAATTGACCAATGAGTTTCCACGCTAACACTCTTAAATTTCAAATTTACAAACCATTAATAAGTCATATTTATCCTTACAAAAAAAAAAGACAAAAAGAACGAAAAGGACAAAATTTCAAGCTCAGAATAACTCTGGAAATTATAAAACAAACTTTAAATTCATTGTAATTCTCACGACTTATTATTATTCTGCTTTTTATGGGTCTATTTCAAGATAGTCAACATCATTACAATTTTTAATAAGAAAAACAAATTGGAAGATCAGGAAAACTCCAAGTTAAAATAATAACTGGAATAATGAAAAGAAAAGATGAACCTGATGAAATTAACATGGCATTCACCTTTGAATTCAGGTACTGGACATACGGGAGGAACAGTATGACCAAATTGTTCCTACATTATAATTTCAAATCAGTTCATCAAATCGTAACAGTTTCTCAACTTTATATTTATTAACCAATAAATGGAAGAACTGAATTTTTATTTTGTATTTTAGTAAATGGTTACTTTAGAGAGAACGGAGGCGCTAATAAATTTAATTTGAAATTTGAAATTTTAGGAAATCAAGTTTTAGATGGTATCTGAGTATATCAGCAATTTATAAGTTTAGCAAACATGCGGTTAAACTAAGTGACTGCATAAAGTTTATTAAAATGAAGAAATTGAACCTGATACTCCTCAGATTTCTGTTTCGCATAATTAACAGGCGATTTAAATTCTATACGTAAATAATTTTTTCCAATTTTCCATTGTTTTAGAGGTATCAGATAGGAAACGAACTGATTGTGTGTTCTGAGAACTAATGCATCATTAAAAAACACATCGGCCACGGTATCGAATCCGCCAGCATTCAATAATACTGCTCTTATCTTCAATTTCAATAACTCTCACTAAATTTCAACAAAAAAATATCTACTTCGTTATACTAAATTGAAATATCAGTTGTTATTATCACAAAGTATGATTTTATTAATCATTTCTGTTAAATGTCATAATGATATACTTCTTTTTCCTCTTATTTTTACGTTTTTCTCGGTGGAATGATCCCTGATTCTCCTATGAAAATGATCTACAAGAAACAAAATAGCATAATACTTTCTAACTTGAAAATCACCTTGCTCCAATTTCTGGGAATAATAAATGTAGTGTAATAAATCCAATTCATTCGTGGTACCCATCTTAATATATGATCATTATCACCAAATAGTGGTTCAAAAATATAATTTGCAACGAATAAATCTTGATAGATATCTCCAGGTACCCGAGCTGGTCCTTGAAAAGAGCCATTTGCTGATTGAAAGTACCATTGGAATTCATCCAAATGAAAATTTTCATTGCTGCATATTGCTCTCCCAAATTCGAATTCAAAAATTAACAGAAGAGAAAGAACGAGTGACATTTTTAGCCTGAAAAAATCCATAAAGGAATGAAGTATATTATGGCTAGTGAAGTATATTATGTACTGTATTGACTGATATATCATGTATTGCTAGTGGATTATTACGATATGCAATGGCTTAAATCAAATTCTTTAATCAGTTCACTGCTCAGGTTTAATAATACCACTTCAGTATGAATAGGAAATTTTTGTGTACAAGATAGTTATCGTGTAATATCAACGTCCGTTTATAAAACTTGTATTTTGCTTCGATTTGGCTTTGATGTATTTATTTTAATGAAATCCAGAAAAAAACGAGATGGAGAAAGATGTAGAGACATTTGTGATTAATTGGTGTGGTTATATTTAAAAATGATGAAATAGGAAATTAAATCTAACTAGCATTTCACACATATAACGAATCTATGACTGTAGTTGAAGTTACAGAACATCTAACATTCAGTTGGAAACAGATCCCAAACTGATATCTCAGAACAACTTCCATCTTCCTTTCCATTCAGTTCTCTAAACAAAATGAGTGCATGCTTTTTTGAATTTCAATTATTGTATTGCAATTTAATTCCTTCCTCGTCTATTTTTATTAAATAGGTAGGTAACTTCCACTAGTAATGTAGCAACAGAAATATCGGAGGAAAATTAATCATTTAAAAATAATTCAGCTCTTGCTCAACTGCATGGTTTTTTAATGGAATTGCCGATGCATTTAAAGACAGTATTAATTACATTATACAATCACAGAAAAACAGAGAGATTAGACAAATACTTGAGAGTACATATGTTTTACTTTTGATAAAATTTCAGAAATATTTAATTCTTCAATTAAATTACCTGAAATTTTTTTAAAACACATCCATTAATACACCAGAAAACAATAATTATTCAAACTTATTTACAACAATTTACTAATCAATAGACTTATTTGTCTCACTCTATCTATGCTTTTGAAATAATCACATCAGCTGTTATTATATCAATTTTCCTCATAAAACAACGAAAAATAGTAGATTAAGAAATAGCAATGCAATAAAGAGAATAACTGCACCAGCTGTTGGATCACATATTCTCAATCAATGACTAATTACTTTTCATCGATTACTTCCCATATGAAAATGATGGCACAACATTTTGCCCAGTAACAAAAATGACGTTTTGGATAACTTATTATGGATGGATAGATATATCTTGAGCCAAAAAGCACCAAATTGTAAATATGGAAGAGGTCAAGCGTGATAAATGAGAATATACGTCCTGATAATAAATTAACATATCTAAACGAAAGAAATTGGAAAAGGATTTAAAGAGAGGGATGGTGGCAAAATAATTCGATAAAACAATAAATGAAAGGATTAAAGATAGGGGAAGACCAAACTAAATGATATATATGATATCTGGATGGTAAAAATGCTTCCTTACAAAACAATAGATATAGTATATTTCCGATCAGGAACAAAATTTTCGAGTCAACTGTATAATCTTTCGTGGAACATCGCTTTCGCTACTCCAACATATATATGTATCAAATACGCCACGTGTTTTCACATATTCCAAAAAGCTTGGTATACTGCCTCCAACACCAAAATAACACATCTTTGCTGCTACCAAACTGAAATTTGTAATTATGTTGAATAAAAAAAATACGACCATACTACAAAAATTGATCGAAAGCAGATATTATGGATAAATAGAAGAGCCATTAATCCAATGAATAAAATTTGTTCACTTCACTTTTTGATAGAAATGAAAATAAACGAATGCCTGAGCAACTCGCTAAATAAAAGGACATAGAAGAATGGAAACAAAATCCCCATATCTTTTAAGACTCGATAGGAGCAACTGAAAATTAATTTCAAATATGAATTTGTAAGTTACTTACATTAATCCATCGGGTGGAAGAACAACATCAAACAAATTATGCAAAGCCTCATAATGTTCTTCATTGTAGATCGTTTCAGAAGTTAAAACAACATCAAACCTTAAATATAACATCTTTAAATATCTCCCACTGGTAAATAGGACGAAACAAAGTCTAGAAATAAAAATAATAAATCACAGGATAAGAAAATTATTACTTTACCCTTTAAGTCTTCTTGATAAGTTTTACCCCCTTTCAGTCTTCTTGGCAAGCTTGTAACTATGTGGAATAAAGAAAAGTACGATCATACTAAAAAATATTGATCGAAAGCAGGTATTATGAGTAAAGTAGGAGAGCTATCAATCTTGATAAACTGTTGGATTACTTCGAATAAAGTAGAAGTTGGATTCTCAACAACAGTTTTTGCTTTTTGAATATTGTTCTTGACAAATAGTTCCCAGATAAATATTAATAGATTATTTTTGTCAACCGTTTCAAATCAAAGTTCTTTATATTTGTCAAAACTCGGTGGAGGAAAAGCAGCTTGTTTACACAACAAAATCATTAATAATTAATAAAGCCGTTGACAAATGAACTCTTATGCGAACTTATTTTCCTTGAAGTTAATTCAAAAAAAACGATGCTAATGAAAATCGAACACAATGAAATGCCATAAAATTAAAATTTCAAAGAGTTACAGGGCTGCAAACACTGATTCAATTCATAATGATCCGAATATTAGCAGTTATTCAGCAACAAAAGTAAAAAAGAAGTTGGCTATGCTGGAAATCCCTTTCGCTAAAACTTTCAATATCTGAATGCTTCGAAAGGTTTGCATCCAGTCTAGTACCTGCTCTATTGACAAGCTCCAAATACCATGTTAACACCTTAATTCACTATTGATCAGGAACCAAACGATGCTAGACAGTACTAATTTCTATTTTTAATTAAAAATAATTGCCAACTTTCAAGACATGTGTTCCACCAGACAAATTATTCTATCGTACAGATTGCACTGTATATCGAGACATTCAAAGACTATGAGAAGAAAAAAAATCTAATTTCTGAACCTTTCCTTTACTTTAATTTCCAATTTAATTCATTTCTGTCCCTTACAACAACTTTATGACGAAACAAAGATTCATAAACAAAACGTGAAAATTTATGAATAAAATAAAGACAACAAATTTTGGAGTTCAATGATAACAAAATACCATAATACGATTTCTTTCAAATTCAAATGAACTATCCTATTTGGAAATTATAACAGTTCGTTTCAAAAGCAAGAACAATTATACCAAATATCGGCTAGTTTCAGGATGGAACAAACATTGCATATTGGAATGCAATTAAAACTGTACCTCATCAACACTATGGTACTTTTCGATATAAATGTTTCCAAAATAAAAAAATAGATCTGTGCTTACTTTTGGCCATCTGTTTTCTGCTGCAGTGTAGTCCAGTCACAGCCATAAAATCGACAATTCTCCAAGCTTACATTGTTAACCGTAAAATTATCCTTTGTAAAGCAACTGACAACAACATCATTCTATAAAATATGAAAACCAAATAATGTTATGCAATGATTTCTATAGAGACACATTATTAATTAAACAAAACTTACATAATCCTGCAAAACAACTTCCTTAGCACCCTTTTGCAATGCCAAAATTGATGGTAATCCCGCACCGCACCCAACCTAAAATGTTGCTATTAACCACAAAAAACATAAAATAATGAAACTCTCGACGAAATGTTCCAGATTGATAAGCTACCTCGAGAATCTTCTTGTCCCTCAAAACTTGTGGCTCCAAAACTTTATCCATGTACTCACATAGGTCGATAGCGCTTTCCCACACTTTCAATCCACCTGCAAACAAAAAGATAGCATTACTTTTTTTAACTTCGGTGTAACCCAGCACTGGTAGTTTGATTGAACAATTTGAAAGAGAGATTATTTTCCATAATTCAAATTTCATTATCATAATCCTCTTAGACATAAAAAATAAGTGAGGAAGTAGTGCAAACTTCGAGGCAGTTGTTACTTATAAATCAAGAAAGTGTTGTAATTCACCTTCATAGGTACCAATAGTACGGTCAGAATGAGCAATCCGCTCCAATGATGGATCATCTTGATATCCTCGTTCTTTTATATTTTTGTCAAGTGTGGCCTGATCAACATAGTACAAACAATGTCCCGATGATAGTTCAACACAATGCACGCCCTTCTTGATGTCACCAACATCTTTTCTCATCTTATTGATTGATAGTACCAATTCTATTAATGTTTAAATAATATTAAATAGATTTGATTGTCCATATCAAATACGTGTCATCACGAATGAAAAACACACAAATCTTAAGCTACATTTCCCTTTGCAAAACTATGATGCCAGATCTTTCTGGAAGATAAATATACTAACTTATGATAGTGTAATAACCCATAATTATATGATAATGTAACACTCCATGCGATCTACTATTAAACTATGGGATTTCAGCATTTCAATATCCTCGAATCTATCTATTATTGTCTTGTTCAGCACAAATTTCCTGCACCAATAGAAGCTAGTAAAAAAACAAATCTTAAATCTATAATTAATTTTTTATTTGATGTAATCAAATAATGAGCAACCAAATAAGTACCGTCACCAGCCTGATTGTTCAAAAATAGATATATAAATGAGTAGCAACATTAGATGCAGTTATAACACTGCAGATAACATACTTAGTTGTTACAATAAATAGTGGGAATATAAATGTTAAAACAATTTTATTGAAATCAATCCTAATTCCAACTTGTATTATCCTTTCAAACAGCACATCCAATACCTGTTATCTGTTAAATGTATGCTTTTATTGGGGTTAACTTCTAATAATGGAAAACGTCTTCCTGGAAAAAAAAATTATATCTTTGTTATTCTTATGAACAATATAAAAGAATATAATTTTGCCTCTTAAAGATGGGTTGTATGATCGATCTTACGTTAACAATAATGATAGTGATCAAACATCATCAAAATATATATTAAGGAATACAATATTTAATAGATATAGAATGTAATAAATAACTAGCGAAAGATAGGGGTAAATAAACAAATCAACTCCCGAGAAAGCCCTAAAGAAAATTCAGAGCACCATACTGTTTTGAATAGACTCTTCATAACTCTCCCCATTTCAGACAATTTAACACTGGACTGGACCACTCAATAACCAAAGTACGATTCGCATCTAAATAATACAATGATATCATCTCATATCATTTATAATATCACTACTCTCCAATTTCTACTAAAAAGTTCCTTCAGCATGCTCTTGAAATACAAACAAAATATGGCGCAAGACAGTAAGACGCAAGCATCATGCTGACCGGCTTTCTTGAAGAATGTCCCGGAAGATCAGAGAATTTTCGTAAAAAGAAAAAAGATCACTTTCAAAATGAAAGGGCTTCAGAGGACGTGCGGCGAGAAACGAATAGAAAGGAAATGCAGCACCGAGTCATATCTAGGTAGGATATCACATTATTCGGTTGACTATTTAATATTCCAAAGATCGAAAAAGTATAAAAGAAGCATAAATCAACAAAATTAGCAAGGAAATGATTTTTAATTCAATTTATCAAAATGATATTTCCAATTCTTACGAATATTTCAGTAATATATCACAATAAATAATTTTACCATTGTTATCACCAGAGCTGTTTCAAATATACATAAAGATGGACAGATGTATACATAATATTATCATCCCAAAATAATGATCTACCAAAAACTTACTAAATCTTCCTAAAAATGCAATTAATTCTGCTACGTGCTATTTCCGATCTAACAAACCAGAGAACAATCCAGAAGCATTTCGAAGGCGCACTATAGCCCATCAAAATGCATTTGGATTGTTCCCTGACAAGGTGAAATTAAAATTTTAACTAAGATTCAAAATTATTTCAAGCATATTTGCTTCATAACTTTGGAAAATACAAAAGTGAGAGCGTCTTACTCATTATTATAACAAATAAAAAGCCCTAATTTTACCTCTAAATTACTTTTGGGATTATTTATCAAAAATATTATTGAAGAATAAGACCGAAGCACTGGACTTAAAAATATACTATGGGCATGTGAACAAAGTGATATGCAAGAAGAAATGCACAATACATATTGAAAAGGAAATAATCGCACGAGCAGTCGTAACATGAAATGAAAACAACTTTTGAAAAAATCGCAGCTTAAATTCGCAAGGATTTTAAAAGAATGATACCACAAACGAATGATATCACAGTTAGGTATCACCTTGAAAAAAATATCACATTTATGGGCACGGAGAAAAATATCAAAAACTAAAAATGAGAGTCCGAAGGATGAAAACAAAAGTTTAAGATCAAATGTACTACAAATGGCTTATTAGCCTTAAAGATATGAAAGAACAGATGGTATTTTCATTTTTCTTCGTTACTAATACACTACTGACTAGCAAAGGAGAAAAGTGAAAGTTGTAGAAATGGTGCAGGCTATAAATAACTAGTCTGGAAAGTATATTCAAATAGCCACTAATATCGAAAAGAAAAAGAATGAAGAACTGTCTTAAAAAAAGTTAGAGAAGTCAAAAAGTTATAGAGATAAAATAATTTTTGTATAAATTTGAATAAAACAATAAATCCGGAGTACGTCCAAGCTTATTAGAGAGAAAGACGAAAAATGCATGGAAACAAAAGTATCCTGTTCTGAATCACAAACGTTTATTTCATTTCATTAGCTATAGAAAAATGAAGGAAAATTCCATATTACTGAATTACTTATCGAAAAATGACAAGGACTAGAACAGACAAGGATGTGGTTAGACCAAAAAAATTGGGTTTTGTTGAATATTCAAGGATAGTGGAATGTAGACAGTGTTCACATTAGAAAATAAACGTAATGAGAACGAAATACATTACAGAATTGGACGCGAAATGTTTGAAGAAAGCTTTATTATTACAATTATGAAGTTTAAAAAATCGAAGAAGAATCAACTATTAACAGTGAGCAATCAAAGTGTTACAAAAGTTCGTTCAGTCGCTATCTCAGCTTCTCGAATAGACTGGAACTATAAGATTTTATTGCATCCTAGTAACCAGAAAATCTGGATCATACAAAGCTTCCTGAAAAGGAAAATTAGCGTTCGTGTAATTCAATTCCTCCCCTTCAATAACAAATGACCTTCATCGTCACGGACCATGTTCACAAACTCTAATAGATAAAATGAGAAAAATAAAAAGAGACATGCCGATAGAGTGAAAAATTAGAAACACAATCATTGAAGCGCAGATCTTGTAATCGAAGGGTAGCTTTGAAAAAGCATTAATGACAGAAAACGGCACAATGAGTAAAATGAAGATACCAAAAGAAAAAGTTTTAGCGAGAGGATAGATTTGCAGCGGAAGAGATAAGGCCTTGCACGGTACCTCCAACCCAACCATGATTCCGCTGCTCCTCTTTCGCCACTACTGCATTCACTTGCTCATGTGTAAACCTTGCTACCGTCGCAATCACTCGAGCCAGTGTCTGCAGCAAGTAATTTCAAGTAAATCCAGAAAAAGTAACAAGTCCATAAATGGTTACTACACCTATGATTGTAATAAAAATATACAATATAAGCAGTATGCACTATGAATGCAAGTAGATCTTGATCCACATTGCTAATAAAATTCATAAATCGGGAACCACGATTTTCTTTTCCTTTACATTCTAATAGAATTTTCGTTAGGAGCAGAAATAAAAAAAACTCACAACACTTTCTTTGCCTAGTGTTTCTCGTTCATTCATATATCGATATAACACATTTCTCAAATACTGAAATACAAGTATCTTCAAATTGTGTAAAAAATAAAAAAGCAATAAAATCACAAATTACGATACACGTGAGTGCTCTAAAAATCCTCTAAAATCTATCCCTATCTCTAAATCCATCCTTTAAAAATGGTTGACTTGTATACTGGAAGGTCGTGTCACATTGATATGATCGTAAAAAGTCCTGTGCAATAGTAATTAGCTAAAACTCATTCAACTTAGAAATTTATCACCAAATAATTTAATAAAAAATTAACTAACTTCAGCTTCAGTAGGTTCCGCGAAGACAGAACTGCTGTCACTCAGATCCTCTTTATTTCTCTATAAGTAATGAAACATTTTCCGACTTGAAAAAAGTACTATAATAAAAATAGAGAAAAAACAGCTAGGTGAAATGGAATAATATTTCACGAATAATGAAAATCAAGCAAGCAAAGTTCCGAATCAACAGACAGTAAATATACCACGATAGATCCATTGGTGATTGACTCCAAACCAATAACGTTAAACTGTTCAATACACGAGGCTTTTCCACATAACAGTGTTAATTCTTTCCTGTAAAGAAAATAAAATAATACTAAATTGCGATAGCCCATTTCTTCATGATACTTCTACGATAATAATAATAATAATAAATAATAAATAATAAATAATAAATAATAATAATAATAATCAAATGCTCACTTATAGGCTTCTTCAGTATTTTTCAATTGTTTCTTGTATTCCGCCACTTGCTCCCGCAAAGCACACAATTCTTCATAATCCTGTAAATTAATGACCACGTTTTATCATCACTTTTATCACGAATATTACACCAAAGGTTTGCAAGAGAGTGAGACTCAGAATTTTTTCTCAGATGCAATTCTAGAAACCATAATTTTGCAACTAAAATAAGAAATTAGAACAAAATAAAGAAGTTAATTAAAGCAATCATAAATTGATGAAAAATAGTAGCAACCTGAATTAATCTAATGATATAAATTAGAAAATGGAACTTAGTAATGAAAGCGATTAATTCATCAATGTAAAAATGTCGATCAGCTCAACAAATAACATACTGTCTGCTCAATTAAATCTGAATTGGTCCTTAAATGTTCGGTTTGCCCATCCGTTTTGTGGCCATTTTTCGTATAAATATTTGCAATTTCATCATTTTCAGTTTTTTTGGCTGATAATTCCTAAAAATCTACTACAACAAAGCTCTTTTTGATATGCTATTTAAAATTTTGATATCAGCAGCTCATTAAATTTGAACAACATTACTTCTCTTTGGATAATAATTAACAACTTAATAACTTCGCAAAACTTCATATTAATTATATACATATATGAGAAAACACACATGAATTAATTCATAATTTCCAGACAGGTAGCGTACCTGCAGTTTGGACTGCGCTTCATCTAACTGTTGTGTACGTTCATTCAAATCATGATATAACTGTTTGATTTCTTTTTGCAAATCACGCAGTAACCGGTGTCGCTCTGATTCCACTTTCGCTGTAACACCATATATGAATCAAAAAGAAAAGTATGCCAAAAATCATCATGTAATTTTGCTTGATTCTTGAATTCCTCAATTATACTTGCCTGAAACTTTCGCTGACTCCTCACTTGCACTTTCTTTCAGAGTTACAATTTCTAATCGCAATCTTTCCACTTCTTTTTTAAAATTCTCATTCTCATGTAACAGCACCTTTCGTTCTTGCTCCAATTGCTCAACAACTTGAGTGCTTTCTGAAGATAATTATTTCATGGAAATTGCGAAGAGAACAACTTCATTTTCTTCCTGTATCATAAAATTCCTAGCAAATTTCATCCGAGCAGTGATTACCTCGCAAACGCGTATTATGAGCATTCATATTTTCCAATTCACCTTGTAAAGACGTGATTTGCTGGCTTTTTAATTTTAACTGCTTCTTTGTTTCCTCTACATCCACATGCATAGAATTCAGTTCAGTTTCCATTTCAACGCACCTCTGAAATTATCCACAGTGAGAAAATACAACAGATATCAGCTTCTAAATTTATCCACCTTAGAAGTAGAAAAATGTAAACTTTTGGAATTTACAACTTCGAGATAACTTAGAAAGACAGATCTAGAATTTCTGACTGTAGACAGTCGATTTTTGAAGTTTATATATTATAAAACTATTTTAGAAATCTCGCTCCCAAAAAAGGGAGCAACGTCGCACTTTATTCACTTTTATGACGTTATGGACTATAGCCACATCTAAACTTCTTTTATAATCAGTGCGTATCGCAGATTGCAAAATAAGAACAAAGCCTAACATTCAATTTCATGTCTCTTTCTCTGGATATTGCTTGGATATTTACTCGCAAATCGTTTATGATTTGTTCATCATCAAAAAGTTTTTGTTCCAAGGAATTAATATTTAATCCCTGCTCTTCAATTTGCAAATTTTTTTCAACTATTTGTGATCGCATTTCATCAATCTGGAATAATATGGAACACAAAAACACAAATAAAAGCAGTCATGGTCACTCTGAAATTAGCATACATTAAATGTGTGTGCCTAGCGACATTCTGTAGAAAGCCGTATTTCAACAACGAAATCATGCCAATGATTTCATGTAATCCTGGAATTCCTCTCGAAGGGTCCTTTAGAAAGTCTCACCAAGTCTCAGATACAATATTTTTAATAATAAACCTGCAAAAGAAGTTCTGCTTTCGCAGCTTTTCCATCAGTTTCACACTCTTGCTTCATTTTCAACATTTTCTGCTCCGCTTTCTTTTTTATTTCCTCTGCTTGTTGCTCATTTTCCTATAATTTCGACGAAACTTTCTGATAAAGTTGGACTGTGAAAATGACTGGCGATCTTTCAGTGAAAATGTGGCTCTGAATTTCCAAAGGCACGAAAAATAAAAGACAAGATACGCAGCAAAACATACTCCTTTTCTTTCATGCAAGCAAAACAAACGATCAATAAAAATGATAAATCGAATAAAAACGAGAAAGAATGTCAAAAAAAAGCAATTAGTGACCTGTTTCAATTGCTGTATGATCTTTTGGCAATCTTCTTTAGCTAAGGAAAGTTCAGCAACAAAGCGATCTTTCTCGATTCGTATAAGATTCAAATCAGTCAGTTGCTTTTGTGCTTCTTCCAAATTGTAGTTCGCCTTTTTCAGTGCCATAGCATACTGATCTCTGAATGATCACTTATTCTTTCTTGAATTTTAAAACCAAATCAATGAAAAACAGATCTGAGCGACTGCAATCTCATTTATTGACTTACATGAACCCACTTTTCAAAGTATGACTTCCCAAATTGGTTGTCTAAATTATAAACTGCGAGGACAAAAGAAAAAAAATTTAAAGTATTCAGACATTGAGGTCGCAGTGGATTAAAATGCAAAATATAGCTTGTTACTTCATGCTTACTTCTCAAACAATGACTATGCGCATCTTTTTAATTTCCTTCTTCATAGATAACAAAAGCCCTAAAAACGTATAGGTACGTTATTTTAAAGCAAGATTCAGAATATTCCAATGGTCAACCTTAGATCTAAAACACTAAAAGTTATGATAACAACGTGAACATTATATTAACTAAAGATCGTTAACTGCTGCCTAAAGCAAGGCTGCTGCAACCACAAGCTTGCTGTTTAAAAAAAATGGTATTTAAAGTAATTAAACGAAACGATTCGAGCGCTAGCTTCTTACAGGAATCTAATTTATGCCGAAACAAATTTAGGGAGCTGAAAAACTAGATAAACATAGCGGCATAATTTGGAACACACATAACCTTATCCTTTGTTCTTCTTCTTTCTCTTGTTTTTTCTTGTTAAGCTCAGTTTCGAGGAATTCCTCATTGCGTTTCCTCTCTTGAAGTTCAATCTTCATTTTGTCCGAATTTCGTTTTATTTCAATAAGCTCATCTTCCAAAATCATTTGTCGTTTTTGTTCCTCTTCTAAACTTTTTTTCAGCGATTCCAAGTCAGCATTTTCCTTCACTCTTTGCTCTTTTATCTTCTTCTGTAGTTCACTCACGATATTTTCCTAAAACCACATATCAGTTATTTTTTTATATTTGCATTCTTCAGAATGCAAATATAAAAAAAATTCTATTGATCAGTTATATTCTTTTAAAACTGGGGTCTGTGAAACGTTTAGGATCAAAATACAACGCAGAACAAGAACATTACTGGTATTCTTCCTATCATTGGATGTATAAAAATTATCGCGCTAATGCATTCAATATCGTGAAGCGCATACGTCATAACTAAAAGAGATGGAACAATTCATTTTTTCTATTATAAATTTTCCATTTACCAAGTTAATTATGATAATATTTAAAAAAGTACCTTTTGAAGAAATTCAATCCTTAATTTCTCATTCGTCGCTTCTAACTCTTCATTCTTCGTTATCATTTCATCTAGTTTTGATAATGTTTCTTTAATTTCATTTCCAGCAATAGCAACTGCGCTCCGCAGACTGTTTGTCTCGCCAATCTAACAGAAACATCGCTAAATATGGTGAGACCATATGCTAATAAATTACTTCAAAATGAATCAGCAGGATGATAAAACATGAAACAAGCAAACTGCTATTCTTTATCAAAATATCAATTGTTTGGTATAATTCTAATGGCTATTAAACTCTGCAGTGTTTCAAATCTTTTTACAGTATCTATCTGAGTACTACTGAGTGCAAACTTTCTGCTCAAACCTTGAAGCCTGCAATTCAAACCTTCCAATACAGCCATTTATTACACCTCTTATAATTCTGGTATTTTTTGATAGAATTTTTTAAAAGAATATAAGACTGCACAACTGAATTAAATACCTGATCTCTTAATTCTTTCTCCAGTCTCTCCACTTCTGAATCGTTTTTGTATAGAGTTTCGCGAACTTTCGTTTCCATTTCTTCCATTTTTATCTTTAAATTATCCCGGCTATCACGAATATCTTCCATCTCCTTTATCATGTTATTCTTCTCTTCCATAATTTCTTGTAGATTTCTTTTCAGTGCTTCTATATTGGTCACAAATGATGACTTTTCATTTTCAACCCTAAAATTTTATATGGAAAACAATTTACATATTTTTTCCATTTTTAGGAAGAAACAATGATAATAATATTAAATGTGTCCAAAGCACCCAATTCCATCGTTATAATTTTATGATCGAAATATTTTACTCCGTTAAACCATACTCAAAAGTTTACTCAGGAAAAAATAATCCGCTTAAATGAACTTACAGATTTAACTTATTTCGAAGCTGTTCAAGTACTTCATCTTTCTCCTTAAGAGTGCCAACTTTTAAACTTGCTAGTTCTTCACTACCCAATACACATGATTCCCTCAATTCCACGTCTTCCAGAACCGAATCCTGAAAATACCGAAAGAAAATCATGCTCCACAAACTCATAGAATCTTCCTATCACTTTCACCATAAACATATGAATAGCAGTATATTTCAACTGCGCATATTCTATTTCCATTGCTTTGATCCTTCACAGCATAGATATAATCCGTTTTATTACAAATTGTTAGCCTTTGAAGTTCTGTCCAAATTAAATCTGACGATTCTATAAACTTTGACTGCTGTTGTGGAAAGAAAACAAACTTGTTGTGGGACATCCATTACCGATTTCAAACATGTATCTTCTTCCATATCTCGTTCTGGAATATTTATCTCCCTCAAGATATCATTCTCTTTCGATTCTGATTCTGGCTGGAAATTTTATTTCTTTTTGAGATTTATTCAATTATTTTATCTTGTTCAGTAAACTATTATTAGGTCAATATGTGTTCTGAACATTGAAAATGATAAACGATATTGGAGCACCTACGATAATCAGAAATTTTTCTGAACTATTAATAATAACAACAGTAAACATTCATTAAACGAAATTAAACGAAATATTTTCAAGCAATATCTTCTTCGTCACTATTTTTTAAGAAATTCATTTCAATAATCATTCTACCAAATCACTATTAAATAAGGTATATCCTTCCATTCAAAATATATTTACATTAGAAGCTTTTCAAAAATTCAAAATATATTTACATCAGAAGTTTTTCTCTTCATATATTTTTCTCTTCTCTTCATATATAATGAGATTCACAGAGAAGCTAATTTTACTTTTTTCTTCAGCTGTTCCAATTCCCAAATCAGCGCTTGTTTCTCTTCCCTCAACTTCCTAATTTGCACCTGTTGATTTTCCACTTGATTCTTCAGTTGCCCACTTTCACCAGTCAACAATGTAATCTTACCATCAAGATCGTTCTTCGCCTTTTTTGCTTCATCCTGAGAAATAGGGAAAAACAATAAGAGTGGTGATTTTGTGACGTGCTTTATAGAACACAGATTATTGGACCATGAAAAAAAAATGAAATGAACGAGTTATAAGAAATCACTAAATCTAGAAGTCCTCATCATAAAGGCATTCATTTCAAAGCCACAGTTGATGAGAAAAAAATATCTAATCTCATTTTAAAAACATAAACCTGCTGCACATTGTAAGTTATCTCTTCTGTTTCACTTTTGCTCATCTTTGCTTCAATCCAATGATGCTTATTTAACTTCTCCTTTGCTAATTGCTGCTTTTCTTGTTGGAGGACTCTTCGATCTACTGTAACAATCAAATCTCATATTCAATATTTCCTGTTGCCCACCCTCAAAACAAACAGTTTAAAAACTGTTAACAAAAAAAGACAAATATTATCAATATGAGAAAATTGAAACCTTCCAGTTCCTGCGCAGCTTTCTGAACTCTTTCTTCCATTTCCGAATATCTTTTTTCGGTTTCATCACGCTCCATTTGAGCTGCTTTTAACTGTTGCTATAGAAGTTTAAATTTTGATGAGTTCAATAAATTACAACTTAAAATGTGCAAATGCCTATTCCTTATTTTTTTGCTTAAAAAAGAAAATATATCCCTTATGTATTTAAGCGTATTTATGAGAATGATGATAATGCGGAAAAAAGGAAATGAAATCTAATGGTTAAATAAGGATGCAATTATACCGCAGCAACATTGAGAACAACAGAATGAAATATTATAATAACAGGATATAAGTAAATATTGAAAACAATAGGAAGACGAAAAACCTGCAAATGCTGATGGATTTTAGAAAGTTCCCGAGTAGAAGATAATTCAGCACTCAGAATATCTTTCTCCGATTCCAAAGTGACAATTGTTGCTGTTTTTTGCTCCAAACTGCTATAAAGTTCTTCCATTTTCTTTTCCTTGATTGACAGCCTGCAACAACAAGTCCAAGCATATATGTTCAAAGAACAACAGAGAAAAGATTGAGTACAATAAAATATGCCACGGAAACAAAAGTATTCATAGCATTTATAAAATGGATCAGGAAGCAACAAGAAAACGATTGTTTCACAACGCAAAATTTGCATATTAAGTATATGCCTCCATCGAACACAATAAGACATTACATGTTCGGGATTATTCTATATGTCATGACGCACTTTGCAGATTTTGATATTTCTGTTATCTCACATTTTATTTTAATCATAAACTCTATTTCAATGTTCAAAGCGTAATTTTAAGTTGAATTATAAAAAATTATTGAGCTTTTATAATTTTTCCCAAAAGATAAGTATATTCATTAAAATATGTCATCATTTTGAAATGATAAAGAACCTTTGGCTAAACTCGATAAGTTCTTGTTTCAATTCTCCCACTTCAGCGTTCTTCTGTATTAATTTTGCATCGTTTTCATTTAAAATTTTTTCATAATTCTCTTTCATTGCTGACATCTCCGTGCGCATTATATCTATCTCATTCGCATGTTGCTTCTGAAAGCTAGTGTAATTAAATGTTTCTTAATAACATTAAACACGACAGTAAAGCAAATATCCTGAGCACTTTTCATGATGTATGATCAATCCAAAATTTTCTACAATTTCGAAGACAACACGAAAAAAAGTGCTTCAACACCTTTAAATGATCTACTGCTTGACGAAGTTCTTCATTTCGATTTTCAGCTCCTTCCATTGCGTTTTGCTTGCCGTTCTTCAAATCTATCAGTTCATCTTCCAGTTGTTTGTTTGATTTCACAGCTGCCTCGAAATCCTGAAATACCGAGTACCATATATCATTAAGCAACTTTTATTTCAAGAGTTTCAAAGCATATATACAACTGAATAACATATTGTTCATGGATAATTTACTTTCTTGAGCGCAGCTAGAACCTCTTCTTCTTTATTTTTGATTTCACTTATTTCCTGCTGATGTCTTTCTTTACTGGCTTCAATAGAAATACAAAGTTCTTCCATCTGTTGTCGATGTCTTTCTTTCATATCATCCAAAACTGATTTCAGATGTAACTTCTCCTGAAAATTTATTAAATAGTCATAAGCTTATCTAAATGATGCTAATAGTGCCTTGCTTGCTTATATATAATCCCTTATTTTTAGAAAATAGTCAATGGTCAATAAAAAATACGGCATATCCTAATAAATCAATGTAAAAACATCCATAACAGTTTGTGTGAAGCCTACTACAAAATACAGAACAAACTGCGGTGAGTTGCTCTAGTTGAAAGCCCAAATTCTCATTCTTTCGATCGTGTTCCATTACAGCTGCTACCTTTTGCATTTCGCGTTCCTCGATGGCCAACTGCATCTGTTCTTCTTGTTCTTTAAATTTCAAAGCCCACTGTTCATCCTGAAATATAGTAGGATGTTCATTTGCAGAAGCTGTAGAAACTTTTGCTTACAAATTATTATAAATAATTTATATTATAATAATCCTAGGACATCTTGAAACAGCGGTGACTAGCTATAAATTCACTTTTATAAATTCACTTTACTTATAACTGTAAATCATGCGAAGATAAACCAGCATTTTTCATAATCATTTCCTAAGTCTTTTTATACAATATATTTCATACTTAACGAAGAGATAAACAAACATTTTTCATAATCATTTCTTGAAAAAGTCGTTCCTCTTCCTCTCTTTCTTCAGCCTGTTTTTTCTCCATTTTCCTTTTCAGCTCTTGCCGTTTTTCTTCCTCTTCGCATCGTACTGCTTTAACACCTTCTTGCTTCGCTTCTGATAACTTTTTTACCATATCTGCTTTTTCGTTTTCCAATGCATCCACAGCTGCCTTCAACTCATCAATTTGCCTTTGTAACTCTATCCCTAAAAAAATTAATTGCCTTTTTTAAAAGAAAGTCGGAAATTTTTCTTTTAATTTGCAATGACCAGAGTTCAAGCGTGTTTGAATTTCTTGATAACACGGAATGTATCTTCTCAGTTTTTCGAAAGCATTGGTTCGATAAAATCGTAACAAAAAGAGGTGTAGAAACAAGGTTTTAGAATCTGTTTGTAGCAGGAATGGAAAAATGTGAAAAAAACTTCAGTTTTTCAAGCAGTCATTTAAAAATGAAAACTTTCTTGCCTTACTTTCTTCAGTTTACAATAAGTCTCTGAAACATTCAAAAATAAAAACTGAAAGGTGCTAAGCTATCTAAACAAAAAATCAAATTTCTGTCCTCTGAAAAGCAGTTATTATTTGAACGCAGAAGTGAAGTGAAAAAGTGAAAAACTAGGTTTGGTAAATACAAAAGAAAAATACGAACCGCTTAATTCCAGAGATTTGCATCTGGTCCGGGTTACCTGCAATTCAACGTCCTTCTCCTCTAAAGCTCTATGCATTTCTGCCTTCACCTTGGCTATTGCAAGTGTACCGCTGCAATATTACTAGCCATTACTGCAAATTATTACAACACGATTTATACTAGTTACTTTATGTGAATCATAATACTAACGCTTCTTCGGAATCAGAAAGGCGTTTGGACCATTTTTCTTCTAGACAATCCACACGACTTTTCCATTCAGCAGTAACTCGTCGGACTGCCAAATCGCTGATTTCATGCTGCAACAATTTACTTTCAACTGTCTTTTAAACTGATAGCTTAAAAAACATGAGATTAAAATCCAACTAATCCATAAAATAATTTGGTTATTTTATGGATTACTTGATCTTTATTACTTTGATCAAGATGGAGGAGTAGTTTTCTAAAGTATACAGCCTTCTAAAAGAACAAGGAGGAAATTATGGAAGAAATCATAATTCTAACTATAAAAAAACATTAAAAATGATCCAATCAAAACAAGAAAAAGATTAAAATGATTCAATCAAAAATTCATTAATTTCACATTTTAACTATACATGGTAAGCAGCAATGAAGCTTATGAAATTGAATGGGTGTCTGAACAACTTTGCAAAACCAGCTTACTTCGTCATTAGATGTCTCAATGTTTTTTTTAAGTTTTTCATTTTCTTCTGTTAGTTGTCGAATTCTTTCCTTCTTTTCCTTTATACTTGATTGACACTTTTCCACTAATCCTTGTAATTCCTTCACCTTACCTTCTCCCGCTTCGCTTTCTTTGGCCTCCTACGAATAGCTTTGTACGATCTTTTTCTGCCAACACGCATCATTCAGTAAACTGATCTAACTAATAAACTAATCTAAACTATAGAAATTAAAGCTGAACACCTGCACATGATCAGAAGTTGCAAAATTAACAAAAAGACTCTATTATGTCACTTTCTTTGATCACCATAAGCATTCTCTTAATTAATGTTAGTCAGGTATCCGTACCTTGTTTTCCCTGTCAAGCTCCATTTCTTGCACCTTTTCTCTCAGTTCTCGATTTTTTTCTCGCAGTTTACCAATTCTATCAAGTGCTTTATCCTGCGTGGCTAATAACACAGACTGTAACAAAGAAATCCATAATTTTTGTGAAATATAATAATTTTGATCTTATCAGATTTAATTAAAAAGGCAATTTTAAAGAGATTTTTCGGTATTGGAAATAGTATTACAAGTGAAAATTTCTTTTTTTTTTCATGGAGCATTGCATAAATACCTGTGCTTTTTAATTTTAGCAGTAAATAAAAACGCTCTCACCCTATACTTTTCATTCTCCCGCACTAATTCATTGTACATTTGTATAAGTCTTCGATATTTATCCTTGTAACTTGCCGCACGACCTTGTAACTTATGAAGAACAGTTGAAATCTGAAATTAGCTATAACGTCTCTCTTTGTTCATGATCCTTTAAAGTAAAAATGAGAATAAATCCAATTTATGAATCCCTTTTGATAGAACCAGGTTACATTGACATTATATTGACAGTAACCGACAGATCTCCGATGTTTTTCATATCTCATTCAAAAAACGTTTAAAATTCTTTAGAATCGAAATCCTTTTTACTCTTTCTGAAACAAAGAAAAAAGAAAGCTTGATTTCATAAAACCTGCTCTTTCGAAGCACTTTGAAACTGGGATGAGGTAGCCACACTTTCACTCTCCACGTCTGATGTTATTGTGTTGAGTCGATGACCGGAACTTGATATCCCCGGTATAGCAGAAAAGAAATTACTGAATGAGCTGAAATGTACAAGCTCAATGACTTAACTAGATGTCTATGGCGGCATCTCAATGTTTCTAAAACTATTTACATTTGATTTGATAGCCAGACATCTTGAGAAAAATTATAGACATGAAGGAAGTTGTGAGAAAAAAATGATTCGATTTTCTAGTTCATTTATAATAAAAAATTCTATCAATCTGGACTGTGATACAATAGGCATGCTGTGATAAAACATTATCAACCTTTCGCTTTCGAAAGAACTACTTGAATTACGCCGCTGTCGCGATTCACCGATGAAATCTTGTTCCGGTATTTCTTGCATGATAGCAGAACTGTTGGGATTCTGCTCATTCTAGAAAACTTACATTAATCTTCTTTTTAAAGATATGAAAATAATGAAATGCCATTACCAGCTGTTCTGTATCGAAATAATTTCTAGATTCATCACCGAGAAGATCTGGAGAATGGAGTGAAGTATTTTTCACCTCACCACTATTGAACAATCGCCGCGCTTGCCCAGCCGGGTCATTTCCAATATCGTTCTAAAAAAATTTTTTTCTGATGAAAGAATTTTGAAAAGATATCGACAATACTTCGTCTGTCTAGAAAGTAAATTGTTTATTTCATCACTCAAATGAAGAACATAAAAGGAAAGTAGCTTAAGATGAAAATAATGAATTGTCCTTGCTTGAGTGAAAATTTCCTATTGTAGAATGACAATAGCACGTGAACTATTTTACAATGTTTCTTCCTCCACTTGCATACTTCAGAGAGAATACAATTTTATATATATTTGCAGGTATAGAAAGGTCTTACCACACCGGATCGTACTTGTTGAGCAATATTTTCGCTGTACTGTGATACTGTTGCTTGTAATCTTCTCGCTTCATCTTCCAACTTTGATTTCAATCCTTTGAACATGTCAAACTCACCTTCTCCACCTCAAACAGAGTGCAATAGGACAAACTAAGTACCGTGATACCACGGTATTTGAACTCGTGATATCACGAGTTCAAATTTGCACAGCCCATTTTACTAATCCTAGCAAACAATAATTTATCTTTTTTGTGCAGTTTCGCTTACTTCGCTCGATTCCTCTAGTTTCGGTATTAAGAGATTTCTTAAGCTCTATTCATCATTTCAAACCATTCTTTTCTCTTCGTTAGCTGATGCATGATAACAAATCACACGAGTCCTCACCATGTGCTGCGGTATAATTTCATGTAATAATGATTGCATTTCCTGTACTACTTTATTCCTTCAGAACCCCAGAACTTCAATTAGGTTTCATTCTTGACTTCTTACCAAACAGCTTTCTTACCAAAGTACTTCTTCACACAAAATATGGAAGCACCAAGAAAATGAACTTTGTAATTTAACATCTAGAGAAAACATTGCTATTTTTTTATTCCTAAGAGCATTTATAACATAGTATAACAATAAAAAATTTGCACAAACAAGAATGATAACTTTATTTTGAAATTTAAGCGGTAGATTAGCTGAATTTGAAAAATATCTTTTCTTTCTCAAAATTATGTGCATCACTAGTGCAAAAATAGCACTCCGCTATATAACGATCTCACAGGATTGCAGGAGTAATGTCGAACAACTGAAGTTTGAGCAATTATGCATCTATTTTCATAATGCATATAATTCTCGACAAATCATTGGTCTTTACTTTTCTCATTCCAACCAAGAGATGTATCAGTAACATTATTAGACATTTTTAAGCGATATCTTGTAACTTCCTCGATTGTTTGTTTAGCTAAATAACACATGTCGAACAAATTATCGATCGACTTCTGAAGATATTTCGCGTCCATACTCACGATCTCACTAAAATTTCAAATTTTATTAATTATATATTTATAACATCATGAGAAATGAAAAAGGAAACATTTAAAGATAATCCGAAGATTAGAAACAATCAAGAATGAATGGTTATTTGCTACAGTGATAAAAATGTGTTACATGAAATCGAAATTTTAAACAGACGAAGAGCTAAGCACAAGAGCTTACACAACCAAATGATGCCCTCGCACACTGTATGTTCGTTTGGCTGTACTCCTCGATGGTTCCTTGTCGACTGCTAAGGTTTTGCAAATTATTTGCGCCTTTTCTTCATTTCCTAAATCAATATGCAGTGTCCTGAAACAATCATTATTTAAGGCTAATCTCAGAATACTGTCTATAGAAAGAAATCCAGAAAAAAAAAATCAAATATAAAGCATGCATGGAATGAAAAAGAAAACGCGAAGATTTATTTTCCGGAAACTAACGCCCTGTGGCTTTCACTAGTATTCCTTGATTCTAACGTACTTTCATCGCTGGAGTCCTCCGAATCATTTACAATTTTGAGTAGTTGCTTGTTATCGTTCGTCACAGAAACCTCAAAAACGAAATATATATAACATAGATAAATTTAAAACATAACATTAAATAGATCCACTAGTACAAAGCGGTTAAATAACTATTATTTGCCGCAACGAGATTCATTTCTAACTATCAAAGTTAGGAAGAAAGAAAATACATACTGACAATTTCGCCGACTCCTCCATATCATTTCTCGACTTTTCTGTGATGCTGAAAGTAAGCAAAATCTTAAACTTTAATGTATGAATACACTGAAGTTACTAATCATATGGAAGCAAGAGGCAAGGAGCATATTCTTTTCTCACTGCTAAACGTCCGGATCAACAGAGACAGATTGAAAAAAGTCCAAAGTACATAAACGGAATCAGAAGTATTGAAACTTCCGAGGAAAAATTAAGAGGAACTCGTCGGCATACAATCTTCTAAGAACTATTTTGGATATTCGTGCCCTAATTCTGTGGTCACTATCGAAACCATTCCCACCTATGAACTAATCCCTCTATGAGAAGCTTACTAATATATTCATTTCTATTGATAACCGGTAATAAGAAGAGATAGTCCTCAAAAACTGAATGTCGCCACAGATTTTGCCAACAAAAAGTCAGTAAAGCTTTTAATGGACCTTATTGCGGTCCGTTGTTTTGCAGAAGAATGACATCTGTCCCATCGTATTTCAGGTTGCTCTGCTGTCGAAAATCGGGGAGATGGAAAGTTGCAAGTCACCTAAAGGGGTTTGCTCATTATTTGCTGTGGATCGGCAAAGACGATGATATCACACGTGAATTCAGATTTACATGAAACCAAAAAGTTTTTCATATCGTGATGCAGTAACACTTATAATAGAAAAGCACGTTTGCCGGCACATCAATAGGGCTACAGTATCTTATTCTTTACTGTTAAGTCTATCAATTAAAATCTGTATTGTTCCATGTTAGTAACGCGATCTTTTGTCGCAGACTCAAATATGTGCGAATTCATGAAAGAAGCCTGCGATACAAGATGTTGGACAACAGAACATATCACCTTAGCAGTAATGTCTATTTAATTTTCTGGAAATCTTCTGGAATTGTAAGATGCAAGTTCTTAAGCCTAATTTTGACTTTTTTTCCTTCCTGCTTTCCTATATCAAAAAGGATTGAAATTCTTCTGGAGTTTTCAATAAAATTCGAAAAGAATTTTGAATTTTGTGTCATAGCTTCTCTAATCTTCTATTAATATTATTGTTATTATCGCATAATATTTTTTGATAAATAAACATATATTTTTTTAAAGTTTTTCATTTTATTCGTTAATGAGTTAACTGAAGATGTTATCATTACGGTAGTATCAATGACAGTGTAGAGTTGTACTGTCATTGATACTATTTTAAGCAAACTCATTCCTCAAATGATATTTAGCATTTGCTTTATTTTTAAGTTCCAGAAAGAGAGTTTCTTTTGACCCATGAAATGGATGAAAAGTTAACTGAGAGACGCAAGAAGGAAATAGAGTGATCACACTAATTTGCGTCCGGAATGATGAGTATTTTATTCGTTACAACTAATGTCATTTTATTGTTTTTTGTTACTGTTCTTGCTTTGCTAATTTCAAAATTTTTTATAGTCGATAAATTTCAACTATTACGGTTAATGCCATTTCCGCCTCTTACTGATGATTGCAGCGTGAATGATGATAATGAAGATCTGTGAGGGAGGAAGGGGAGGGGGAGGTGCTGATGTTGAAATTTATTTTTTGTTGTTGTTTAAGAAATTTCACTTTGCATATCCATCATGTTTTCAAATTTATTTTATTGACAATGACATCATAATATGTACCTAATACCTGCTGTGTTACCTGTGTTTTTGAATGTTTCAAATACAAGCTAAATAGAAGATTTTGTAGTTAATCATTTGATGCTAATAGAAGTCGATTTGATTATGATTGCGATTCATTTCATATCAATTATAATAATGAAAATAACGCACAGTAATAAGATTACTATCTGCCAACATGGACATATATATTAATTAATTTCTATTTTTCAAATATTGAAATTTTCTCTTTTAAATTTGAAGTGATAAATTTATTTGCAAAATTTTAAATAGCAAATTCAATTATTCTGATATCTGGTACAGATTGAAGACTATTGAAATTGACATGCATTAACTGATGTGTTTTGTTTTGATTGTCTTTTTCCATGCAGTCTCTCCTCCCTTCATTAAAGATATTTCGTCATTGAGCAATTTTTTCTACAACTTAGTTAACAATTACTGAGATTCTTGCTTCATTTAAAATAGAAATCATATAGCGAAACTTGTTTTAAAAAAATACACAACGATTGTTTGTTTTGAAATTATGAAAAGATTTAAGTAATTAACTCAAATTTCACCTTATCCTTTCATTTGGAAAATTTAAAATTTTGTTCTTCTGACAGCAAACGAAAAATCATTTCTTATTGTAATAGCAATTTTTCGTGATAACATCTTTCGCTTTGAGTTCACAACTAATTGTTTCCTTTGCCCTTTCAAGAACATCTTTAATTCAAGCTCTTTCATCATGAAGGCTTCAATTCTCCATGGACCTCCTTCCCTTTTCATTATTGGTGAAGCTAGTGGTGAGACAGCTATTGGTTATTCTCCTAAAATTTGTTATCAATTACCTCAATCATTTTTTCATCGCAAAAATTGTTACAGTAATATGACCCTATAGCGCCATATATTTAGTGCTCAAATCATATTGTCATATATTATCATCCTATATTTTAAATTTATTTTTAGAGAGAAAAGTGAAATGGCGATATTTGCTTAAGCTTTTCATATAACTTCTTTTTGTATCATTGATGCAATCTCTCAACTCAACTTTTTATACGTTTATCATTAATCCATAATAATTTACTTTATTTTATGCTAATTTGCTATTTCATTTTATCAATGAAAGTATATATTTTATTTTCGAAATGCTCACTGTAATAATAAATGAAATCGTATGAGTTGATCCTTTTCAGTTAACGATAATTGAATAAAACCTGTAAGTTATAGACACCCTTTTTCTAGTTATTCTCATAAGTCTAATTTCATTAAAAGACCTAATTATCGAAGTTTGCTAGTCCCATTAGTTTTCAGAAGATCAGTAAAAGAATGTACCCTTTATAAGTTCCTCGGCATTCATCGCTTACTTTTTTAATAATACAAATTACTACTTTCGTGCTTTTTTTCTATGACAACTTGGATCAAATTGTCATCTTTTCCATATTTCAATATCCTATTATTATAAATCTGAAAATGGCATTGTTCGGCAATGTTTCCACCTGTCTCTTTCATTCATTTAATGAATTGACAAAATTCATTTAATGAATTGACAATTGACAGGTGCATTAGGATATTGCAATTGAAATTTCTAATTGTTTTGATACAATGTTAAGCAGATTTCTTTTTCTCTTTCAATATTATTTTCAAATTAATTTTTATTAATTTTATAGATTCGATAGTTGCATGTTCAATTTGCAGCAAAAATTTTCTAATTAAAAGTTTGCTTTCCTTGGAAAAAAAGCCTAGCATTGATGGATAGAGCATTAAAAAATGATGAAAATTTCGATTAAAATGAATTGAATTGTAGAGAATTCAAAGTTATCCGTCTAATACTAAACAATGAGGCCATTTCTAAATGATTCTAAAAAAAAATTTATTTAAAACTGGTTATAATATTTTTTAATTTTCCGGAAAATTTTTTTCAATTATCAGTTCAGGTTTAATAATAACTTTTTAACAGTAATTGCAAACAGAAAGTTTCAGACAAAAAGTTACTTCGGGCAACTTATTAACAATTATATTACTAAATATATGGGAATCGATGTCATTTCCTAATATAACAATGGGCGGATATGCATTTAAAAAAGTTTAAATTAATTTATGTAAACAAAGATATCGTTCATATCAAAAGAATCTAAACGATGCAAATTGCATGTTACTATTAGAAGAGAATGACATGCAATGAGAAAAAGATAAGTATCTATTTTGGAAGTATCATTTCCTCTTTTAAGTGAACAAATTTTTTTTAACCACCTGAAATTGAGCAAATCAATTTTTTCATTGAACTTCTGTTACATTGAATCTTTAAATAATATCCTGAAAAGAGTAATCCAGCCTTTCTCTTTATATGAGAAGGCCTTTGTTATTGTATCAGAGCATGATTTAAATTTTTTTATATATCGCTATGTATTGCGTTACTGTGTGACAAGCGTAATGAACTGCGAAGCAAATAAGTGATTTTTCAATGATAGTTTAAAAAATTTCCTTATCAATTGACATTAATCAGCGAACTCAACAGCTATATTATGATAGAAGTTGACAAATTGATAACTGTCAAATAAATGGGTAGCATAAAACTTCGTGTCATTACGGATTATTATTGTTTCAATCTATTGGGTGAAATGGATTACAGGGAACAGCGTTGAGATTGGGAAGTACCACTACGAACAACACGGCCGTACTACATTGATTCTCATGCGCCTAACACTTACATTACTTCTCACCGTCGTTACTTTCAGTGTACACTTCCTTCACACATTTGGCTGGCGATTCGATGAAGGGTTTGATCTAATTATTATTTTCAGTATACTTCGGACTATCTTTCCTTCACGTCATTATACGTGGAATACGTAATGCTCAAAATAAATATTCCATATTCCGTTAATATTCCTGTAATAGTCCTTACAATTTCCAGAAATAGCATTTTGAAATATGGACTAATCATTAATTCTCTTTAAATGCATTACCAACTTTACAGAGGAGATGAGGTTCCAATTTTCCAGCTTCGTATCCAGAACTACGCCTCTCATCCTACTTGATACAAATATTTATTTGCGCTTTTTGAGGCGCAAATGTTGCATGCACAATGTAATTTGAAGCAGTGGAAATGATATGTAAAAAGAAAATATTTCAAGGAAAATTTTATCCAAGGAAATGAGAGATAATGAGAGATATTTTGCAGGTTGGATGAGCCGATAACCGTGTCACGTGATGTACGAGCCAAAGAAATATCACTACCCAGTTATATGAAACGTTTCGAGCATGAACCAAACGAACAATTGCTGCGACAAATTTGGTTAAATACTTTACATCCGAAAATTCTGCGACGTCATGATCTGCCGCAATCACTATTTTATTTTCCTCTATGGAAAGAGCGTTAAAGTCACTCCCGTATCACATATGAATAGCTTCAACCCGCAATCCCGATCTCTTAGATCATATATATTACAACTAGCACTTGCTGAAATCATTACTACAGTTTTTGTTATTCGTTAATGTGTCAAAAATGTAACAAATCGCTGACGGTATATAAACAGGGATGATATTGTTTTGTCTACAGAAGTTATGATTAAGCTTCTCTAAAATGTGCTAACTAATCTTAGCAGGTATACATATCTAAGACGAAACGCTCTTCAATTTGTTTAATTATGATGATTCAGCAAGCCAAAAACATTAGATTACTCATTATTTCTATTATTTAAAAGTAGCTATTGATTTGATTATTGTCCTAAAATGTCAATATATGGTATAGTATCTTTCCGACCTGCTTCTGAAACTTTTGAAACATATGTGTTAATTACTTTAATATTGATCCTGTTTTATTATTCCCAATAACATTATATGCCAAATCAATATGAAGTTGGATTCCGCTTTTATTGTTTTTGATATAATCGTAGCATAAGATAATTAAGAATTTCAAATGATGTATTTTCACTGACTATTATAAATGATTATGTTATACTGTGTAGACGTAAGCAAACCGTTAAAGTTATAATTTAAGCTATTAAAATTGTGATACAGGTTATTCAAGTTATGATATAGATGTTACACATCAAATTGTTTTATTCTTTATTATATATAATTTAATTTATAAATAACAAATAACAAAAATTCAAAAAGAAAATTCAATAGGGAAAAAAGAATAAAAAGCGTTGTATAAATTAACTATAAATTAGCATTTTACAAGAATAATTAAGATATGTGTAACATTTATGATAATAATGTTTCGTCAAATTCATTGAAACTAATAGAATCTTTTTAGTTTCTTCAATATACTTTCTTTCATTGATGAAAATGGATCACTTTTTGCTATTCCTTAAATTAATCATTCCACAAATTTAAAAATTTGTATTTGAAAGAATAAAAAATGCTTTGAAGGAAAATAATTTGCAACAACTTCAATGATAATATAAGACAAAGTGAAAATTATCGAAGTGAAAAATTTAATTAATTCTCTTTGTTTCTAATCTGAAAATGTATTTGAAACATTCTCATAATGAATAATGTTTTAAAATATTTATCCATTTTAATAGTTTTCTCATGATAGTAGTAACTATTACATTTTCATTTTATACTATTTAATGAAAAGCAATTACGAAAGTTTTATTCTATAAAACATTTTTGGTTCTCTCTCAAAACAAAGAGAAAAACAAGAAAAAAATACCTTTAATCTAAATATTAAAAAGTGAATGGTTCCTAAGAAATCAAACTCTAAAGTTGGCTTATCAATCTGTTCCAATCGTTCCTTTACTTTGCAAGATTAATCGGTATCATTTAGGTGTTATCTAAATGAATTATTGTTGAATGTTGAAATACTGCATGATACAGGTGTAGTAAATATATTGGAACTGTGAAGAGAAATTGGTCGGTGCCTGGCAAATATATGTTGTGAAATAACCAAAGTTTATCTTGGCTTATTTCCATTGTTTGCGAGATTTTTAAAAGGAAATTCGTTTTGCAAAACTTTATCATCAAATGGTATGATAGGTTATTCACAAAATAACTTTAATCTTTTTATAAATAAATTATATAAAGCGATTGTGCCGTCATAATTTTTACTGTATTTTTAATTATTATATAAGAAAAACCAAATAAAATAAGAAAATCAATAATTATTTAATATCCTAACTTGTCGTACTTTTTACTGCTGCGCTTCATTCTTTTTTTAGATGCTATCATATTATACTACAAATTTCAACATTATGATACTATCATATTATACTGCAAATTGTAGTATTAATGATATCATATTATACATAAATTGTACTATTACGATATATCATACTACAAATTGCAGTATTTAAATGTTAAGGCTTTATAAATGAAGTTGAATTAAAATTTTATGAAGTATAAACAAGAATTATATATTTGACGTGTGTGTGTGTGTGTGTGTGTGTGTGTGTGTGTGTGTGTGAAAGATCCCACTTACCCCACTAAATATTTTATTACTTGAAAATTTCTGAGAATACAATGAATGTATTATTCTACGTCATCTTCACTGTAATATGCAAATTTCTCCATGCGAAGAAGTAAGAAAGATTTACTTCAAATGATTGGTTGTGATTTATCAATGAAAAATAAATCCTCCATTTCCTCTATCTTCATATGCTGTCTCTATCAGTTCTGAAATTGCAAAATGATCGATATAAATCAAAAGATGAAAATTCAATTCCTTCGTCTTTTTTTTCAATTTTTAAAAAAAGATCGTGGAAAATGTTGGTTAGATAATTTGCTGGAAATTAATGAATTATGACTTTCTGCTAAGTTAAATGGATATTATTATCATTTAGCGCAGATAAATATAACAGACAAAATTTCAATTTGTAAATTAAATATTCTCAAAGAGTTATCTGCCAATATTAAGTGTCATTTTTGAAATTTCCAATAATGAATTCTTTATGGTAATTTCTGAAATAATATATAAGTACAACAGTTTTAGTTATTCATAATATTTGTTGTCTTAAAATTGAGTAATTGCTGAAATTACGGTATGTTCAAAATGTATTGACAACTATATATGTTGGATTAGCATAGAAAGCGGAAAAAAAGAGTCTTTACAGAAATTATCCCAAAATGAATAAATGAATAGCATTTTTAAAAGCTTTAAAATAATCTGGCAGTTAGGGAACAGCCATTTTGTTATTCACAGTGAAATACTTAACATTAAATGATAACTTTGAAATTTAAAAAAGTATTGATAAGATGAAAATGAAAATAACAACTTATTTCATGTTCACTCTTTTTTAGCTTATTTTTCGATCAACGCCTATTTGATATTTAATTGTGTTCAATTTTTAAATGAATAAGCATTATTTAAAAATTTTTCTTTTAAGTGAAAAAGAACAGATTTGGTAGGAAACTTACTTTTCTTGTTAATTACTTTTTACCTGTAAAATTAAAATGAATGATAACAGCAATGCTTTATAATATGAAATAAAATTTGTGGTTTTTACTTATTCATTTTACCTGTTTGTTGTTGTTCAATTAGTCAACACAATAATTTCCATCATTTTTTGTTACGATTACGATTACGATAAAAAACGAGCAATTGTCCACTGGAATCAAATTTTAAGAATAATTTGCCATAAAATAATTTAGCTTCAGATACAGTAATTTCATCATATAAAGTTTAAATCAATTAGCTAGTAGAAGAAATGTTTAAAACTGTTGAATAACTTTTTAACATACTTCACTGGCAAATGATCATTTATTCATCTTTTAACTCGCACTTTCAATAAACTAAAAAAAGCAGGTCTTTTACTTAATTTGCTTCATGAAATGTGATTTTATCCTTTTCGGAAATACTGGAACCTGATTCATTCAGAAAAACTAATCGGAATTAGATAAACTTACTTTAAATAATTAATTATTTATAGCATCAGAATATATTAACTTCGGGTGGTCAATAGATTAAATATCAAACACTTCAGCTTATTCGAAAGAAAATTAAGTGATTGCAGTCATTCTATCATTTTTCGATATTGGTAAAATTAGTGGAACATTAACTATCAGATGTCTAAATTTTCGTTTAATCTAATTCATGGAAAAAAAATTGAATTACTTTGCGATCAGAAATACTGAGACTTAGGATGTTAGTAGTCAAGTTGATAATTATGAGCGGTCAAATGAGAAACAAGCAAATACTATTATTATTCAGCAACCTATAAAAAACCATTCCATCTTGAAGAAATGAATTTGTCTTAAAACATTTATTTAATGATTTTTAAATTCGTTAACAGAACCTAAGAAGACCTATGACATGTCTACTTACATCTGTGAATTCCATTATGTGTCTTTTATATTAATAATTAACTGATAAAATAAAATAAGCAATACGAAGAATAGCTTTTCAAAAACTTGTAGTCAATTATTCGCTTTGTTAGGCAACAAATAATATATTCAAATCTGAAAGAAGAAATTGTATTCTCGTTGTTTACAATTTCAATTTAATGCATTTTTAAGAAACAAATGAACTTTGCTATCTCCAATTTTAAAGGTAAATTCGTTTCAACTTTATATATAGGTAAGAAGAGCTTTTTCCCTTAATACAAGTCTGCTGGGCACCTTCCCATTCTATAATACTTGGATGGATCATTTGGTCACATTGTAGCGCATATTGCTCTCGAGAACACCACTTAGAATATTCAAGGGCTGTTGAACAATAACTGTGAAATAAATCCGGATTGTCGGATATTTTAAATATTAACAATAAGTTATTCCCTCTCGCTCAATTTCACGATAGTCTTACTATTTGGTAACTATTTTCAAAGTCATTGAAATTCTCCACCTTTCAGCAATGTGATGATCATTCAGATTGCTTGCCGTTTAAATAATTCCTCTTCATAATTTCAATTATAGTAAGAAAAAGTTTCGAATCAGCTATTCGCTTTCTGAAAGAAGTTTAAGACAGCGTTAGAACGGAACTCGAATGGGGCGATCTTAGAATTTTTCCATTGAGGAAAAATTTTTTCTCAGTATTGTCATTCACTATTGTTTTGTTAGGTCTGTGACAATGTTGAAGAATCATCGAACTTCCGATGAAATAAAGCATTTCACTTGATAATTCATGAAATATCCCTCATGACAGTGAGCGGAATATCGGATTCTTGGAAAAGTTCATGATAAACTCGCGCATTAGACATTCCATTTTATCAATCAGAATATAATTTTCTCGAACCATTAGATCTTCGATGTTAGCGTCTGCCCGAGAAAAACTAAACATCTCCATGGGTAACAAAACTAAAATCTGAGAAGAACACACGTTTGCATGTACACGGATGTCAAGCTTAGGCAACTGAATCCGCGGAATATATGTTTTCCAACTTTCATTATATAAAAATATCAAATAGAATTGTAAGTATGTTAGGGTAACCAATAGTAACTAAGACAATTTTGTATCCATTTCTCACTTCTTATTCATTTCACATAACGCATAACTTTAAAATTGAATACAAACATACTCAAAATTTAAAAACAGAACCATTGCGTATTTTAGATGATCATCGTAAATAATTATTCACATCTATCTGTAGCAATATATCTCAGACCATTTTCGATACTAACATACCAATTTGATAAGGACTGTTACAAAAAGACTGAGCAAACAGTGTCAATAACATTGCACACATTATTTTTCACAACATGAATAAAAGTCAAAAAATTTCGGTAACCATCAAGTTACAATTTTAAATCTAAATTTTAATGTGTCAATTCGATCATAAATTTTCTAGTGTTGTCTCTGTGTTGGGCGGTAACCAAACTAAAAGTGCTGTGGTATGTTCAAAAAAATTTCAACATCAGATATAAGCCTCTTGTAACAATGTACAAAAAAAGAGAGTTGTGCAATAATTCAATGTGACGAACTCCTCAATTCAGTTTGATAGCACTTGCTTTTAAACATCATTCCCAATTAGTTACTCATTTAATTAGATGTCTTTATATGAATCAATAGCTGTTGATATACTGTTGACATAGTAATCATCCTTCTTGTTCATTGCACATAATTCATCATTCGCTCTTGGAAGTTCCAAAACATGAACGGACAAATAAAGATGTACAAAAAAATTTTACGAAAACCAAATGCAGCTTATCAGTTTTTTTAAATTAACTGAATGGCCTGGTTAAAAATGAAAACATAAATGATCCTGAGGTATTTGTGTCCAATGTGTCACAGTCATGCACATATTTCAAATGGGCATAAAAATAGATGTACACCAGTATCTATTCTTCTTTTAGAAAGGAACACGTCTCAGTGCCATCTTATACTCCTAAAATATTAATGAACACATCTGTCCGAGTTTTCCATTTCCGATACAAATATATTTCATAACAAAGAACAATTCCAACCATATAACAATAGCATATCATCATATATTTTCAAATCTACAATTAGCAGATAGTGGTCCCATATGACATTATCAATTTCATCAAGAAAAATAGTATTTTTCTAAGATGATCCAAAAAAAAAAAACAAAAAACAGATATATCATCGAGCATTTAATAAACAATAATTCTAGATGCACGTTACAATCAAACAAATGATAAGGAAGAGGATTAAAAAATAAGACTACCATAAAATCTTCATAGGTACTGAACCACTGCATTCGCTTATTTCGCTGTATTCCATTTTTAAGGACGTTAGTTTTACAAAGTGAACAATTCTTCCAGTTCCTCTACTAGTGAACTTGATAATCTCATGAAAAAAGTATAAACAATGAAAATGTCTACAACGTATCATAAAACTATGAAAAAAAATTACCATAACAAATCAATATAAAATGAAATTATAACGCGTAACGTAGAGTCGTTGAAGAACAACTTCGAACAACATTAACGGTTGGTCTGAAACTTAACTGTGTGAGCTTTGCTTTTCACAAATGGTAATCTCAGAGCTTTTGTAATTGGACATTTTAAATTAATAAGAAGGCTCTGTGTGTACTTGTTGAGATTACATAGTTCATCTCTTGTTTATAAGTTCCCCGAATGCTAATCGCTGCCCCAAAATCCAAATGACCTATTTTTTTTTTACAAACTGTTTTTGAATTAGATATCCTGCAAATAACAATATTGAAAATAATTAAAATTAATACTGACGCTTTTGCTAAAGCATTTTGGAAAGTTCCAGTTCCATTTGCTTCCTGTCTTCTTCATCATCTACCAACAAACGGTCAGCAAATGTATTTGGAATATTGTCTTCAATCCATTTTAGCTCCTCCTAATAATAATAAAGCGCATAAGCAATGCAAATTTAAAAATTAAATTTGTGACTGCTGCTCATATTATCAAACCTTTTGCTAATTTTCTTTTTCACCGACCTTTTCATTAACTTCATAATTCTCACTATCACAACGACAGAAAAACGCCGAATATAAATTAATGCCAATATCACTGATAAAACATAGATCCTATAATCACTGTCACTGAAGATAACAAGACTGCAATTTCGCTTTTATCTTTATTCAGCTTGTATCTCAAAAGGAAATTAAAAAAATACAAATTTTTTTCCCCTAGTTCCATATGAATATCTACTTAATCCTTGAGAACAATGAAAAATTATGCCAATTATTTGGAATATTTTGCTAACAGAAATGATCCGAACCTGCAACTTCTGATCATTTTCTTGAGCTTCATATTGCTTCCTGTTAGACGAACTTTTTTGACCATGGGAAGAAGCACAAGCACCCACAGCAGCAGTTCGTTTATTTAATCCAGCCATCGCATAATAACTGGTATTGAAAAGCTCATCTGCACCTTCGATTAAATGAAGGAGTAGCTCGACGATAGACTGGGTAAGCAGTATAATTAATATAATTCAATATCACAAGTGACCGACTTTATTTAAGTTATGTCAGTCCTTCTTTCTGATTGTTTTGTTTTTACACATTCAATGCTCAATAACAGCACTTACCGTCGTCATTCTCATCCTCGCTATCATCAAGCAATGGCGTGAAAGCATAGCGTTGATTGTTGCGTGATGGACGCCATAAAATCATGATAACGACAAGAATGCAACAGAACTGAATATGCCAAAATGCTGTGTCGACCCAGCTGTAAATGAATTAGGAAATAACTCTATGAATTACTTTAATCTTAATTTGATTGATCACCTATCCAAATTCTTCATATAAAATGAGAAACCGATAAAGTTTTATTTGAGAGTGAGCTCGTTGTAATTACAACTTTAACTCTATTTGATAAAATCTCATCGTGAATATATTACAAAATACACATAAACCACTTACTATTCTTTCCAATCAACTAAGCACCGTTGCATATTGTGTATATAGACTGTCCAACACATGAATATTATGCTTATAAAAGCTGAAAAGCACAACGCATTGGTGAAGTGACGGTATACAGAAAGCTTTACCTGAAAATGAATTCTAATTTGTAAATGTTAACTGGAATGCTAGAATAAATTTAGCTAAGTGCGTAAAGACAACAATATGTATATAGCTTGCCTTTCATAATTTCTGTAGCAAATCACTTAGAACAATTTCAACCTAAATTCCGATAAAAAATATAATTTGGAGTAATCTATCAAATTTCACGGATACAGTATATTCTTGGAGTATGTAAAGAAAATTTTTTTGGCGCTAAAGTTATAAGCTGGAACCTAGTAATGAAATAACAAAAAAAAAAAACCTCAAATTAAATAAAAGACAGATAGCCTAATTTTGTATTAACAAATATATCAGTTTAATGAAAGAGTAAACATACCCACCATATTTCTTCTCATTTTCAGTACTCGCATGGTACTGATAAGTGATGTAAAAATCCACCAAAAGATTACTACTTCAACTAGTACCAACGGCAAAGCTGCTAACTGCTTTTGTTTCATTCCTTCTACCTGATTCTGAAAATATTTATGGATAACAATAATCAGGAAAAAATATTATTACTTTGATTGCTTTTGATTCTAAGTAATTAAAACTAAAGCAAACGCAATTATGATACACCTTGAGGCACAAACTACAGTTTAGCCTTTGGAAGCGAAGACTGAAATGGCAAAAAAATTTGCGAATTAAAATACCTTGCTCACCCTGGCGATTGCTTCAATAGCACTGAATACAAAGTAAATAAAGCCCACACCAATCACCTTGAAATAAATAAATTTAACTTCCAATAAACTTTTTTTTGCTTTGTCTGTAGTAGCAAGCAGAAAATAACAGTTTCATCTCAAAATTAAAAATTATTTGTTCCGTGAGGTTAACTAACGGATACTACCCAACTAAATATGTAGACTAAAATTAAGGCGAAAAAGTCAACCTGACTGATAGTACTGCCAAGTCTTGGTTTCACAACACCATAGCCAAGAGAAACTATTATAATCAATACACGAGCCATTGTTCGTTTCAAACATGAGACCAATTCCGCTGCCTAAAACAATGAATGTAGATAATACCTATAGCTAGCGAACAAATTTTTCATCAACCAATATATCTAAATGGAAGAAAAGTATCAAGCAAAGAAATCAATCCGATATCCTAGGATGTAAAAGGAGTAGAGAATGGAAAACAATGCGAATTTAAGTTCTAATAAGAATTAGTCACCTCGATGAAACCATGGACAGTAGAACCTTCTTCATTCATTGCCGCATATTCCGAATAAAACATTCCTTTCTCGATCATGCCAGCAACGATCACAGCACCTGATTTATTATATATTTATATATATATATATCATTTTTAGGATTTTTAAGTTTTAGGAGGATGATAAAAATGCTCCACCACTATTGCAGTCAGTACACAGAAATGTTATAAGATTTTACCGATACAAAACTGTATCCTCAAAATATCCATCCAGTAACGTAAGCAACATACTAACCTGAAAAGAATGAATAACATCAAATTTTCAGGCTGAAGAAGAGGGAACAACAGAAATAGAAAAATAGGACACACACTCTAACTTTTTGCTTTAAACATGAATGAAGAATTAAAAAAAGAATTTTATATGTTTGATTTTGTCTGATGACCAATTTTGTTTGATGAGCAACTTTGAAATACGAACTTTAAATACTCATTTAACTTTTCGCAATTCTAAACAGAAATTTTTTCTGCAATAAATTGCAAACTAATGAACATCTAACGTTCCAAGAAACACAAAATGAAAAAAAGTCAACTAACCAAATGATAGCTAATATAGCATAAAAAAGCCACATAAAAGCATAAAATCTGAGAAGTGGATAATCGATTGCACTTAAATGTCCATAAGGACTACGCCACTGCACATCTACTGTTAAATTGTGGACAAGCGGTACTGAAATTAAAATGTGAATAATAGAGCATTCAGCCGGCTGAATAATAAAATAACACTTCAGCTGAATTCTTGACAGCAAAATAACAAAATTATCTTCATAGACAAAAGGTTCTTTTTGTTATATGAGGCGTAAGAATTACATATGTGAGCATTTAGGAAACCTTTCAAAATATCGCCGTTTAATATTTTTAGTTTCAAGATAGGTCCAGTCAATAGATTTGTAAAGATATTACCTTGTGTGGTCTTTTCAAATAAATTGGACTTTATGACGGTAAACTTAATAACCAAAAAATATATGCCATCTGCTGGAAGTTTCTGCACTGGATGCCAAGAACTACAAATGAAAGTTTGGAAAATAAAACAAAAAAATCAAGATTCTTTCGGATAAAACAAGAATAACTTGAGTTGTTTTATTTAAGAAATGATGGTTTTAATTATAATGACCAAACTAAGGGCGAAGAATATAATGATACAGACCAAAAACTAACACATTTGTTGGGAACAGAAACATTTCCTTACCTAAGAGTAGTTTTAGTGCCGCCATCCAGTGAATCACCATTCAGACCCGCAAATTTACGTCTAAACCTTCTTTTCAACAGCTGACGTCGACCAATAATGTGCTGCTGATCTCGTACAGAATGAGATGCGGTTGAACTTATGATACTCGAATATTTGGAGCTTGCCTGGCAAAGTAGAAGAAAATAATAAAGATAAGATAATCGAATAAAAACATGCTTGTTTTCTATCTACTGAGGAAATACATGACGAAAGAGTTTACTTCCTACTCTTAAATTATCGATGAACTTTAATGTTCTTTACTGATCAGAATGTCACCTTCCACACCTCTTTGACATGATGTATTTCCAACGGCCGACGTGGATGCTCATCTTCTAGAACAAGTATGCCGTGCGACTGACGACAATTGAACTGCTGTGGATGAGATTTGTAGAACAAAATTTTGGTATAATCGTATCCGGGAGGTATCTCAAACTCGTGCTCGAAGTAGAAGTTCTGAATTATAACAGAAAAGCCCATTATTATTGTATTATTATATCAAGTTTTTTCGAAATTATTTAGGTAGAAAGTTAAGACTGCAAGAAACTACCAGTCATGTAGTAATGACTGCACAGATTCAGAACATCGAGCTCCAAACGTGAAAATACAAGTAAAAGTAATACTCACTAACAAATCTTTTACTTGAACATGCCTGCTGGCATCAAAAAATTCCTTATCACATGGAGAACTTCTTATAACATACTGTACTTGAAACGTTAAGTCTGAATCATCGGCGCATTGAAGCCGTATTTCCACCTCAGTACCATTGAGTGCTGATTGTGGGAAACCAACGTATTCGATCTGCATAACAAATAAAATATTATATGACGAAAGAGCAAAGGAAAATGGTCTTATATACAGATTATTATTATGAGCAGTAAAATCCAAACAGATGTAGCGAAAGTTAAAGTTTGAACAAAGTCAAAAGAATTTAACAAAAAAAGCAAAATCATACTGTGTCAGCTTTTAGCTGAAGTTTTGTCGATAAAATAGCAGGTGCTAGGAGATGCGCTAAGCAATCACGGTTCAATATGTTAACAAAAAAAAGCCACCAAAATGGGCAATTTCCAAATTGATTCTTACTTGCCAGCATAAGACCAGTGCTCACCACAGAACACCCCAGAAATAGATATTTGCTGAAGAAAAGGACGATCAATGAGCTTTTACTCTCTTCAATTCAAAATTGCTGCTGTTTGCATTAAGATTGTAGCAGTGATACACTGAATTGCTAAATTGATATGCTTCCTCTGTGTGAGTTTTCAAAGCATCCACAATATGCGTAGTGGCAACAGACATTTTTAAAAATAATTATGTATGAG